TTCACATTGGCTTTCTCACCATCTAAAACTCTCAAAAAACTCAACAGAGAGTTAGAAAGGTGAGGAATCTTCATTTATATATAAACTCAACAGAGAGTTAGAAAGGTGAGGAATCTTCATTTATATATAAACCATTCAGCCATGGTTCAGAAATCCCATTCTAACTTGATAAAAAGAATAGTTAAACACAACAGGGACCATGATTGTTTTCTCCTTGCATAAAATCTTTCAGAGAGAGGTAATTTTTTATTCAAATCCTTCCAAATAATTTTATACACCCCAAAACTATACAAATCAGCTTATATGAGTTATTAAAAGAGAAATCTGACAATGTGTATCCACTAATACTTTCCTAAAATCTCCATGACCAAATTTCCAAAACCTTTGCTGTTTCAGCTTTTATTGATATGTAGAACATTTCAACTGCCATCTCAATAATATCTTAATAATCGAGTATTTCCAGGATGGTGTGTTATTATTCATATTATTCCCCTAGAATAATATGGCTTGCGATAGTGATCATGAATTCGGTTTTGGAATTTTTAACTCTACTATTGTCTGCATTGTGCCATGCCATATTTGCGTCTGTGGTGCCTACTGCAGTGAATGACCAAGAACTGACAGCTAATTTAGGAGTAGCTAGTTTAGTTGCACACAATAGATTCTTTGTAGTAACTCTGATGTCCCCTCCCTCCCTCAAATCTCTGAGGTTGGTGAGAACTAGCTATTGCTTCTATCCTCACTATCCAGTTATAACGAAACAAATTTCAGAGTAAATTCTGCCACATGAACGGACGCTTATTAATGAGCACATCTTAGCAAGGAGGCACAGATAGATCCCACAGCCTCTTCTCTAAACTCAGTGAAATTCCAGCAGCCTGCCCCTCTGGGAACTCCAGTCAATGCTACACCTGAAAGGCTCGCCAGAGGAAGCTGCAGCCACACTCCAGGGAAGGGATCTGGTGACTGGATCTTTAACAACCAGTCAGTCCAAAGTCGTCGTGATCCCCAGGTGGACACAGGACCATTTAGGACTCTCACAAGACTGCAGTCATCATCTGCAGTGAATTTGGAGCCCAAGAAAATAAAGTCTTTCGAGGTTTCCATCGTTTCCCCATCTATTCCCCATTAACAGTTGCTGTTACTAAATCTCACATGTATCCTGTCAAGAGATTTTGATTTAACACCTACCACAGGTCAGACACTGTGCTAGACACCAGGGTCATAATGCTCTCTTACAAACTAGTGGGAGAGACACAAGCAAAGTAATCGCTATAGTATAAAGTGATAAATGCCTGATTAAAGGCACACCCACGGGGCCAACGGGACCCCAAAGAAGAGCAGCCACATCAGACTCAAAAGTTTGTCTGAGTGTAGCTTCTACAAGAGATGGTTCTTGAGGTATTATTAGAACACAACTGTGAGCCGATTTAGATTCACCCAGTGGAAGGAATAATTTTGGACAGGAGTATTATAACAGAGCAGGTCTGAAGGAAGAGAAGTTTGAAATCTCACAGCCCATTTTAAAACTGTACATAGTTCAGAATGGCTGGAGGGTCATGGAGAGTGAGCAGAGAGGAAAGAGAGGCGCTCAGGGGACAAGGTCGGTGAGGTTTACATGTCAAGGTAAGGAGTCTGAACTTTCCTGAAAGATACGGAGTACAAGGGAGGATTTTAGTCACGTATATTTTGGAAAGATCATTCCAACAGTAATGTGTAGGATGGATGGAAGTAGGACTGGGAAGGGACAGTTGATGAGGGGGTTTGTGGTAAAAGTTTGAGCAAAGGCATAAGCCACTGAGAAGAGTGAAAGGGGCAGATTCAAAAGAAGGAAACCAGAGGACTTGAGACTGAGTGGATATAAAGTGTGAGAAAAACTTAGACTATCTCTGCCTCGGGCAGTTGTATGGATGGTGTTACACAACAGGTGTTAAATGACTGAATGAAGAAATGATCAAATGAACAGTGACTCCAATAGGAAGCATTTATTCTTCACTTTAGGACGACATCCAGGGCTTCCCACATGGCACCAGTGGTAAAGAACCCGCCTTCCAATGCAGGAGACATAAGAGATGTGGGTTCAATCCCTGGGTCAGGAAGATCCCCTGGAGGAGGGCATGGCAACCCGCTCCAATATTCTTGCCTGGAGAATCCCATGGACAGAGGAGCCTGGTGGGCTACAGTCCATGGGGTCGCAAAGATTCGGACACAACTGAAGAAACTTAGCATGGACGGATGAAGACACCCAATAAATAAGTTGTCCTTAGGAGTTATAGAAACATCAAAGTGGGAGGCAATGATGAGAGCTTTCTGTCTTATCAGTTACGAATACAATCCACTGGATTCTCCTTCTCTTTCATGGCTTCTGGTTTGATAGGCTCAGGTCCTTCTACTTCTTTAAGCACTTTCACTGTCGATGTTTATTCTTGCTGGTCAACCTAGTAATGATTATAACTCATCACAGTATATATTTTGTTTTGCAAGCACTGTAATCTCATAAATACATGCTAAATAATCTGTAGTTAGCATAGCTTACTTTACACAATTCTCTCTTGAAGTAATGGACAGCTTAGATTTAGAAATTGAAAGTAATTAATAAATTAAGATGTGTTTTACAGCTGCATCAATATTATGAATTATTCTAAGTGACTCTCCCTGGGCAGAACCACTGGTCCATTAAGCACATATATTCATATATTTAAAATAGGAACATATACTTTTATTGATACTCTACTCCAGTTGCTCTATCATACAAATGTATATTCTTTCCTAATTAAATATAGCTAAAATTCCTAAATAATATCTCTTCTTTAATAAAATGTAAATTTTCCCTGAAAATTCTCTAAAACTTTAAGTGTAAGAATAGAAACAGTAAAACCAAGATACAGAATTCAATAAATAGTGTGGTTAACTGGAAAAGCAATTCTATACCACAAACAAGTAACTAACCTTTTAAAGATCTTGAGAACAGTGAAATACATTTAACTATAAACTTCATGTAAAATCATTACAACATATAACAATATTTTAAAGCTTATCAAGAGATTCTTTAGAATATGAAGCTTATATTTTTAAATGTAATGTCAGAAGTCCATTATTATGCTATGGATGTTTGAAAATGTAATTTCTATTAAATGCTTTTCTATGAAATTGAATACTGAATAGTAGATTTTACTATACCAAAGCCAAAGAAGAATGTAGACAATGGGACAAAAGCAGAATGATTTATTGTGCCACCAATTATAATATAACAAAATATGCCAAATAACATATCGAATATGTATTTTATAGCTTTATATGGAAAAACAGTGTAAAATAATAAGAAATTAACTATTAAAAAGTTACATCCCTTAAATATAGAGAATCACAAATATTCAGAGAATCACATGCATATTTATATTAAGAGGTTGGAGGTTTATTTAAGAATAGACTGTTTTATTAATATGTTAAACTCTAGAAGAATCCCAAATTATAGGGTTTTAAATGACTACAGTTGGAGAAATTTTTCCAAGATAAAGCATGTGACTCAGAAATAGTGTTACAGACTTATTTCTGTCAAAACATCTTCCAGCATATTGTTTTAATTCAAATAACCTAATTGAAAAAAATTCCAAGGAATAAAGAATTTAGCTAGTGAAAATAGCACTGAAATACTTATGCATACTCTGTTTCTGATTATTCAGTAGAAAGTTTTAGTACCTCCTCAAATCTTGAAAAAGTACTACTATAAATTTATGGTGTTCACACACATCACACTTCTGATAATGTTGCCAAAGGTATAGATGAATGTAGTTATTTGCCAAAGTTTATTTTTTATAAAGTATGTATTTTCATTTTGAACCACTTCTTATTTTGCTTGACACTGTTTTTTTTCCTAATCTGTTATCTTAATATATAAAATTTTAAATTATTAACTTGAAAACAGCTCTATAAAGTTATTCTTCTCTCTGTATATCCAAAGAAGTGAGAAACATAGAAGAATTTAGAAAAAAATGATTGCATTTAACTTTTAAATATTTATTTAGGGGAAAAAAAAGTTTCGGTTGTTTAGTATACCAAAAAGAGGTACTATTTAGAATAGCATACATTCATTTTAGGACACAAATGAACTTTTTACAATTTGGTTAAGGATTATTAAATTATCCTTCAGTCCATATAAGTGATAATATACTTTTTAAAATCTTTATTTGATATTCTAAGAAAATATTTCTCTTTCCACTTTGTATTGCTTTTAGTTAAATAACAATTGTATGCCGATAATAAGAATTGCACAGATTAAAAACTGCACAGTTAAAAACAGAATAAAAGAACAGATAGAACTGGTCACTAGAATAATTACATTGTGCTCTATTGAACAAACAGTAGCACATGATTTGGAAGGCAAGAAATCATAAGACAAGTCAGTGCTTAAATAAGCATTTTTGAGGTAAACCTCCATCATTCTAAATATTCATGTTACAGAAAATATCTATAATCACACTGCATGGAAAATTTCTTTTGCATATCCTTTAATTCATTTAACATTTTCAGATGTTTGAAGCAAGCAGAACTATTTCAGTCTCATAGGCTTTGGGCCCAAGTCCAGTTCATCAAATTGAGAATGGTGTCAATTACATTTTGGGGAATAGGTAACAAAAAAATCAACAGGCAAGAAACTTGGTTTCACATAGCTGCTCTCCTATTGTTTGATACAGATGTGACTTTCCTAAGAAAGCTAACAAAAATGACCTCTAAAACATATTCAAGATAAGTAATAAATAAAAAAGACAGATCGTTATAAACTTATAAACAGGTGAGCACAAGCATGCGTGTGTGTAACTATACATATACCCTTCCATCTATCTTTCTGAATGCTTCTCTTTCCAGGCTCAGCTGTTTTAAGAGCACAAAAAACAAACAGAATAAAGGGAATCATAGAGATATACATTCTGGTGTTTGATACTTCACATTCATCTCTCCACACTTAGTGCTGGTGACATGTTCATTAAAAAAAAAAAAAACTAAATCCCCCATGGAGTACGTATGATATTAACAAAATCTTCATCATCTACTATCCCTATACTTAGACCTTCATAGTAATCTTCAAATTCACCATATGACACCTCATCAGACTTGTTGCAGGCGTCTTTTAATGTCTCTAGAAAAGATGATTTGATTTCTTCCTCTGTGAAGTGTCCTGTAAAATAGTACTGACTATGAAACCATGTCCTTGAAAGTCCAGTGAAGTGGCTAACAATAAAGAAATACAACGTATGGCAAAAACCACTACAATATTGTAAAGTACTTAGCCTCCAACTAATAAAAATAAATGGGGGAAAAAAAAGAAAAAAAAAAGAAATACTTAAGTCACCTGATGAAATCTTTTCAGCAATTTGAAATCTTATGTCAAACTACCCATCAATTTATTTAAACATTTACTTGCATGAACTAGAATTTAATGATGGGGACTTAACTATACATTTGAGGCATCTTTTAAAAAAGTCTGATAGGGTGTATCCTATATATGTATGGGCAAAATAACAGCTACTACTGTAGATATTTTTGTATTTGTTAACGTTTTAGAGAGCTCAGTTTCACTCCCATTAGAAGTGAGGAAAGAAGAAAACAATTTCACTGATATATAGGCTGTTAACACAGTAATGCAATGTGTGAAAGGCATTAGTTACTTTATGAAGCAGTTACTCATAACTGCAACTAGAAAATATTACTAGGATTCAGGATTCAGAGGCCTATAAAAATCTTTGCTGGATGAACTTCCAGTTAATTAAATCATTCTAATTTAATCTCTGACATTAAGTAGGCTATTTCTACTGGTGGGTTATATTGAACATGTTTAATTTTAAACTATAGGAAGATGCTATTGAGAATCACATATGTAAAAAAATTTTAATTCTTTAGTTTGCTATTTAAAGTGAGAACATAAAACATCTAAGTCATCCTTTTTAAAAATTAATTTGATTTTTTAGCTTAGAACAATAAGCTATTGAAATAAGTATCTCTGATTGTATTATGACTGGTTAAAGAGAAGGAGTGATTTCAGCTTAAATACCTTTTTCTTTAAGTAATTTTTGTATTTTCAACTTTTGATAGACATATGTATGTTTATTCCCTTATTCTGCCTTAAATCTTCAACCATAAGCAAACAATAAAACTCAGAGGACTTGCTCCTCAATTATAAATGTAAATGAAAAAAATAAGTACAAATAATAGACCTATGAATTTTTAAATGAAGAAGCTCTCACATTTCTGGTTTAAAAAATTAACTATTTCCTTTCTTAATGGCCTCAAGTCCACGCTATAAATTATAGATACACTATTAACTCACATTTTTGAAATCTAGTGCATTTTTTCCTTTTTTTAAATTTATTTATTTTAATTGGAGGCTAATTACATTAAAATATTGTGGTGGTTTTTGTCATACATTGACATGAATTAGTCACAGGTGTACATGTGTCCCCCATCCTGAACCCCCCTCCCACCTCCCTCCCATCCCATCCCTCTGGGTCATCCCAGTGTCCCAGCTTTGAGTACCATGTTTCATGCATTGAACTTAGACTGGTGATCTGTTTCACACATGACAATATACATGTTTCAAAGCTATTCTCTCAAATCATCCCACCCTCGCCTTCTCCCACAGAGTCCAAAATTCGATCCTTTATATCTGTCTAGTGCATTTTGACTTGTAGTAGTTACCTGAAATTACTTGAGGATGCTTCTTTGCACAATAACATTTTCTTATGTCTATAATGGACACACTGCCTGTTTTGTTAAAATCCAATTTCATAAAGGCCTAAATAAAGAGAAAAATGTTATTTTTTCCTATGAAATCATTAGAACCTAATTTTCCATTCTGCAGCAGGCTATTTTTGAGCTCCAAACAAAGCAGTTTAAAGTACTAAACTGGAATATGCAGGGAGCATCATTAATACAGGGGGAAAGATACTGGAGCGAGATATTAGGTGACCTGCACTTAAGCATTAGTTCTACCACTTTCTAGCACCCTGACCTTGAGAAAGTAACGTAACCTCTGTTACCCTGGCTTTCCTCTTTTTAACGCTGAGGAGTTGGGTAAAAACCTCACAGTAAAGAATCTGCCTGCAGTGCAGGAGATGAGGGTTTGATCCCTGGGTCCGGAATATCTCCTAGAGAAGGGAAGGCCAACCCATTCCAGTATTCTTGCCTGAAGAATCCCTTAGACAGAGGAGACTGGCAGGCTACAGTCCATGAAGACGCAGAGTCCATGCTAGCGACTTAAGCATGCCTGCACACTAGGAGACACATGAAGTTGATAAATGGCTGGGACTATTTTGATTCAAAAAGTAAACTTGAAACATTCTATCACTAAAATCAATGAGAAAATGAAATGATTTTTAAATGGATTTTGTTACTCTATTTCCTGAAACTTAACACTACCTTTTGAAATGCTAATTGCTTTACTGCTCCTTTAACTCAATGCAATCCTGTGAATCATAAAATGTATTTCATTGAGAAAAGGAGTGGATCCATAGAAACACACAACAGACCCAAAGCAACATCCCACATTTGCAGATGAGTCAAAACTAGAATGAAGTTTGTTTATTTACAATAATGTCACATATATACGGTACCTCTTGCAGGCTGAATTGCATCCTCTCCAAAATTCATTTGTTGAAGCCCTAACTCCAAGTACTTCAGAGTATGACTGTAGAAGATAGAGTCTTTAAATAGGTGACTAAGTTAAAAAGAAATCATTAGAGTGGACCCTAATCCAGTATTACTGGCATCCTTGTAAGAAGAGGAGGTTAGGATACAGACAGCACAGACTGGGGGGCTGACTCCGAGAACACACAGTGAGAAGACAGCCAATCAATTACAAGCCTCGGAAGAGACCAACCTGCTGACACCTCCATCTTGGACTTCTAGTCTCCAGAATTGTGAGACAATAATTTTCTGCTATATAAGTCATCCAGTGTATGGTATTTGTTGCAGTACCCCTAGCAAACTAAGACTTTTGCTTATTCCCTGGATTTAGAAAAGGCAGAAAACCACTGATCAAATTGCCAGCATTAGCTGGATCACTGACAAAGCAAGAGAGCTCCAGGAAAACGTCTGCCTTTGCTTTATTGACTACACCAAAGCCTTTGACTGTGTGGATCACAACAAATTGTTGAAAATTCTTCAAGAGATGGGAATACCAGACCACTTGACCTGCCTTCTGAGAAGTCTGTATGCAGGTCAAGAAGCAACAGTTAGAACTGAACATGGAAGAACAGACGGGTTCCAAACTGGGAAAGGAGTACATCAAGGCTGTATATTGTCACCTTGCTTATTTAACTTATATGCAGAGTACATCATGAGAAATGCAGGCTGAATGAAGCAAGCTGGAATCAAGATTGCCAGAAGTATCAATAACCTCAGATATGCAGATGACACCACCCTTATGGCAGACAGTGAGGAAGAACTAAAAAGCCTGTTGATAAAAGTGAAAGAGGAGAGTGAAAAAGTTGGCTTAAAACTCAACATTCAGAAAACTAAGATTATGGCATCTGGTCCCATCACTTCATGGCAAATAGATGGGAAAACAATGGAAACAGTGAGAGACTTCATTTTGGGGGGCTCTAAAATCACTGCAGATGGTGACTGCAGCCATGAAATTAAAAGATGCTTACTCCTTGGAAGGAAAGTTATGACCAACCTAGACAGCATATTAAAAAGCAGAGACATTACTTTGCCAACAAATGTCCATCTAGTCAAGGCTATGGTTTTTCCAGTGGTCATGTACAGATGTGAGAGTTGGACTATAAAGAAAGATGAGAGCTGAAGAATTGATGCTTTTGAACTGTGGTGTTGGAGAAGACTCTTGAGAGTCTCTTGGACTGCAAGGATATCCAACCAGTCCATCCTAAAGAAGGTCAGTCCTGGGTGTTCATTGGAAGGACTGATGTTGAAGCTGATGTTGAAGCTGAAACTTTGGCCACCTGATGTGAAGAACTGACTGCTTAGAAAAGACCCTGATGCTGGTAAAGATTGAAGGCAGGAGAAGAGGACAATAGAGGATGAGATGGTTGGATGGCATCACCGACTCAATGGACATGGGTTTGAGTAGGCTCCGGGATTTGGTGATGGACAGGGAAGTCTGGCATGCTGCAGTTCATGGGGTTGCAAAGAGTTGGACATGACTGAGTGGCTGAACTGAACTGATTCCCAGGACCGAGACTTACGAAGGAGACAGCCCTTCAGTTTCTGTTCTAGACACTCACACCCATCACCAAGACATGTAAAGTAAAAATGAATGCAAATTTATAAGCATTATGTGGTGAATTTAACATAAGGTTTTTGTCTTGCCTTTTGACCAGTAAAGATATAGATTTTTATAGTTTCCATTTGTGCCCAATGTAATTGTTCAGACTACTCTATACACAATCTTTGTTCCAATATGGGATATATATACATTTCATATTAGATACATATACAAAAGAAAAACCTCATTTTCAAAAGTATGCTTTAAAAATGGCTACTAGAACCAAAGTTATATGTTTTCTCCTACAAAACTCAGGGCTCTTTTTTTAAATTATTGTTTAACATGGTCATTTTAGTCTTCATTTTAACATTTAGCAAGCATATTTTAAAAGTAGAGAAATATCTTTAAGTCATCATCCTAAGATAATATGCATTGAGCTTGGACACTTGGACAGCTATGATGCTAATAATTTTACATGTATTATCTTAGACCAGTGCTGTGAGATAAGAAACTGAGGCTTGGGGAAATATTTAATAATTGATATAGACATATAGCTTATATGGAGCCAGCAATTTATGGAATTAACAGCTTGAAAACTGAAATTTAGTTTCAGATTTTATTTTCTTTTTATGGTATTTTCCTTAAACATAGGTTGTTTTGCAGTATAATGGGTAGATTTGTACATGTATGTGTGTTTTTGTGCCTTACTAAACCCACAGTACACTGCAGGGAAAGGGATTTAAAACTTTTCCCATGGTAATTCATTAACGATTTAAGAATGAGCCTAACCATCTAGTAAAAGCAACTATTTGAAAGGTTACTTTACAAAGTTACCTTTCGAACAAATGACTTCCTATATTCATTCATTTCACCGATTATGGCACGTTTGAATTCTCCGTAATCAGCCCTGCCGTTGCCAATGCCACTGCTATTTAGAGTTAGCCACAAAGACTCAAAATCCTAGAAATAATCACAGAGAGACTATTGTTAACGACTGTGAGTTACATATGGCTGTGACTATAATCATCATAGTATTTTGTAGCCATGTATCTTTTGTTTAGGGCTATACCTAGCCCTAGACAAGGTAGTAGATTTAAGGAAATTCCAAAAAGTTGCATACAAATCCAATCAAAGGTACTAAGAAAGCTTATTTAGAGGAACTCTGCAATGGAGATAGTTCCATAAAGTTCAGAAACATTTAAGAGTGGTAATAAATCAAGTATATCATTTTAAATTCATTCCTTTCAATAAATATGCTGCCATTTACTTGAATTTGACCATTTAATTATTTGTAATGTATTATATCTGTGACAATTAAGAAGTCACTTCACTTACTGGAATGACTCCAATAGGATGAGGACCACTAATAATAAGAGAATCTATATGAAGTGGCATAAAGAAAACATTCACACTCTGGGTAAATGGTATAGAAAGGATGAGGGTTGGGACGGGATGCGCCTTTAGGTGGAGGTGTCAGTGAAGTGCTCTGAGTAGAGAAAACCTGAGTGATGAGAAAATCCAGCCCACAGACACAGAGGTCTGCTGGACCTCCACTCACATGGAGGGAACCGTGGGTGTAAAGGCTTCGGGGCGATTCCTGGATTGGTCACACCGCCTCTCCTCTTGAAGCCTTCACATATGCTTCTCCCTCTCCTCAAGTAGCCTCTGTCCATGCTCCTCCTCCCCTCTCGTTTGCCTAATTCCCCCTCATCCTTCAAAACTCAGTTCTGATATATGCCCACTCCAGAAATCCCATGAACTTCCTTCTCCTTCTCCATAACCTGGCTTGCAATTTATCTCACATGTCCCAAAAGCATTCTCTCTTTAACACTCAGCATGCTTTTTCTGTAATCATTTATATCTTTCTTTCTTTTGATTATAAAGACCTGAAGAGTACAAAGTATGTCTTCTCAGTGTTAGAACAATGCCTGCTTATTAGGTTCTTAATAAGCATATGAAGGAGGGATGAATATTGACATTTAAAAAATCAACAGGATTTTTCTAACAGCTTAATACTGATAATGAGGCATAAAGAAGGAGACAAATGAACTATAAAAACTTCAGTAAAAAAGTGAATAAGGCCACTTAAGAATAATAGTCACTCACTGTGGAGAATTATCTGTGGTACCTACATTTTCAGACACTTCTAAGCAAAATAATTTTAGAGCTTGCTTAAAATCTGCCTTATCTAAAAGTCCATTTCCTTCTTTGTCCAGTTGTTGAAGGTATTTTCCCAATCCAGTCAAAATACGAACACCTCTTTTATGTAGTTGTTCTTTCAGCATGTCTGTTTAGGAAGAAGAGTGATGGAAACTAATTATCCCTATACATAAATGAATCAAATTGCAATTGTCTCTCTGGTAAGAAAAAAAAGTTGATATATCTGATATAAGGGATGTGAATATGCAACCAGATCATATGTATGACTGGCAAAAGGCTTTGAAAAATAGAATGCTTTTAGTCAAGTGGGTTATACACAAAATCACACGTGAAATATATTAGAGCTATAGCACCACTGTGTGGTGAGAGTGTTATATTTTAAATATAGGAAAGTAATGGTTCACTTTATCAGCATGAAAATAACCTCAGCATCACAAAGAAAATCTTCATTTTTAAAAAATTTTCCAGGCTTCCACTTCACCTGATGAGCCTATATTTTTAACATTTTTCCTCTTTCTTTGTTATTACCAACTGAATTACAAATTTTTGAGTGAAGTACCTGACAGTTTATCAGTTAAAAATTTCTAAAATCATTTGAAATCTTCAAATTGTAGCATATATTTAATAACATCAAGGTTTTAGAATGCTATCCTATACTTTTACACTTAAAGTAACCCTTTTTGCTAGGAATTTATAGGAAGTTATATCCCTAGGCCCATTCTCTTTGTGGGACAGATTTCATTTGATGCAGTTTGTACCATCTTCACTTAAGAAAATACAGGAAAGTTTACCAAAGCAGTTATTAAATATACTGCTTAGAGGGAAAAAAAAAATGTCACTAGATACAAGGGTGACAAATCATACTGATCATGATAGAATAAACTTTATTAACAATAGCATCAAGAATATTTCAGAGATCAAATATCAATCCTAGACAACTTTTAAATCTGCTTTTAGCCTTCTTACTCCCATATCATCTTTATATGATAAATCAGGACTTATCAAAATTTATAAATTATTGTTGACTTCTGTGATTACTGGTTTAATGTCTTCCTGCCTTCTTGACTATGAGAGTCAACAAAGGACTTGTCTATTTGAACCTCATAAACTGTACTAATTACAAGAGTAGACTCTAGAAACAAATCTTTAAAATATTTTAGTGTACAAACCTACATATATTTCACATATTATCTACAACAACTCTGAAAGTTAATGAGGTTATTATATCCATTTTAGACATAAAGAAAGAGGTACAAGAGATATACACAAAGTCACACGTCACTTGAATGGAGAGTCCAAACAGGGCTTCCAGTCTAGTATTTTTTTCCTACACTAGGCCACCACAAATCTTTTTATGATGCCACAATATAAAATGAGTACTATATTGTAAAAATCACATATCCATTTCATAGATTAAAAACCACACTATCTAATGCTTTCTAAAATTTTTAAGTTCATAAATGATATAATACTAGTTATTCAGTTAGACTCATTGAAGTAGGAGAAATCCTAAAAATATTTTAATATATGTATTTGTGTCTAAAGTAAAAAGATAGGAAGCAAATAGGCAATATAAATGAAGTGTCATAAAACTAAGTGATATCTGGAAAATACTGCTTTACTCCTTACAAAGAAAATGGTTGAAAATTAAAACTATCTGAGAGTGTAGTAATGATACACACCTTGAATTGCCTTGAAAATCATCCTATCATTAGCTTCTTCATTGGTTACATCATCATGTTCCACAGAATCAGTTCTGCAATTGACATGTTCGCCATAATACAAATATACTGTTTTGCAGTCTTAGTATTGGAACTCTAAGATTTCCCTGCTTTAGACTCAAAAAATTCTCAAAGAAAGATAGAAGAATACTTAGAGATTAATCAAGTCTCCCACCTTTGCTTGCTGCTTTAATGCTTGCTGCTTTAATCCTGAATATGCTAAATCAAGACTAAAATACTTACATCTCCCAAGAACTACTTTTAAGCATTATATTCAGTTTTATAATTATTTCAATCTTCTTTTTAAAAACTTAATTAAAATTATTATTTAAAAGCAGTTTTACCTTTAAATGTATATACACTATTTTAAAAAGAAAAAAAAAAAAGCAATCATATTGAACAATACAGTAAAAGACAAGCATAGACTTCCTTATAGCCAGTTTATGGCTATAAGGCCATAATGGCCTCTAACGCACTGATAGTACACCAGTTACTGTAATCTTGACCAAAAAAGCACTCCATAAGAATAGCATAAATATTTTCAGCAATTAAAAAAACACAAAACAAAACTAAAATTCATTTAAAGCCTTTGATTCATAGCATTATTTTTTCGCTATGTATATTATCAATCAATGAATACCACAAGCATGTGGGACCCAAGGTTTTTTTAGTGCTTAGAAGAAGCAGCACTCTAAAAACATGGGAAAAGTTATTATATTATACTGTATCTCATCTTTTAAAATGTATTACTTTGTAGCATTTACTAAAATTAAAATGTTATAGTATAGGCAAATTAATAAAGTACTTTAACTAACTTAAAATGGGACATCTTAAATCTCCATTTGATTGTAACTGTTCCCACACATGGAGTGTATTTGAGTACAAGGTGTAGTACATAAAATAGACATGTATAGCTATGTTTTACTTTTTTTTTAATGTAAATCTTAACTAAAATCAAAACACTTTGATATAGAATCTAATTTTAATATAATAAAAAATAATAATACCTCTAAAATTACAAATGCATGTGTGACTTACTTGAGAGAATCCAAAGCTCTCCAGTCAATATCTGTGATTCGAAGTGTAAGCACTGTGTTTTCTTTTACACTTTCTGGAAGTCTGGGATGATCAGAGCTCAAAAATGTCAAGTTTGCACCCTAAAGAAGTTAACAAATGAATTATTTTAACTATGAAGTATATAAGAAGTAAAACACAACTAATTTTAAATATTCAATTTTGATTACATCTAATGTAGTATACTTTTATACTAATAAATAAGTATATTGAGAGAATATTTAGAAACCACACAGGCTTCAGCTAATAATATAGGAAAATAGAACTAATTTCATTATCTCCCAATATGAACAATCTTAGATGTAACAATTGACATAAAAAAAGTAAGAAGAATTTAAGTTTATTTATTTTTTTAAGAATCAGAGGAAAAAAAGAACAAATTATCTCCGTGGAAATTACAACACTCCAAAATATAGAAATAGAGCTACTGATCTACAGACAGATGTGCTGCCCACTGATGAACTATGACAGATGCACTAGCCTCTTTCACCGGTATTTTGAACACAATCGTATGTATGTGTTCACTGCTGTGGGGGCCTCCATTGCTTTGTGCAGGCCTTCTCCAGCTGCAGAGAGTGAGGCCTCCTCTGCTGCAGTGTGAGGCTCCTCCCTGCAGGGGATCCTCTCTGCGGAGCGCAGACCCTATCACGCGGGTTCAGCAGCTGTGGCCTGCGGGCCCTACAGCCAGGCTCAGGAGCTGTGGTGCAAGGGCTTAGGTGCTCCATGGCGTGTGGCATCTTCCCAGACCAGGGATCCAACCCATGGCCCCTACACTGGCAGCTGGATTCTTATCCACTGCTCCACCAGGGAAGTCCTCTTTCACCTGGTATTTTGATAACAAATATTACATAAATGTAAAACTAAGCTTTGAAAAGACCCTGATGCTGGGAAAGATTGAGGGCAGGAGCAGAAGGGGATGACAGAGGATGAGATGGCTGGATGGCATCACCAACTCGATGGACATGGGTTTGGGTGGACTCCAGGAGTTGGTGGTGGACAGGGAGGCCTGGCATGCTGAGGTTCATGGGGTCGCAAAGAGTCAGACACAACTGAGTGACTGAACTGAACTGAACTGAAAACTAAGCTTAACCTGTTTAGAGAATCAAGGCTTTGGTAAAAAAATTCCCCTCGAAAAGCCTTCATCCAAACTTAGAAAATTGTTGTTATTTTAATTTCTGAGTTTCTCAAATATCAGTCAGTTCAGTTCAGTTCAGTTGCTCAGTTGTGTCCAACTCCTTGCAACCCCATGAATCACAGCACACCAGGCCTCCCTGTCCATCACAAACTCCCAGAGTTTACTCAAACACACGTCCATCGAGTCGGTGATGCCATCCAGCCATCTCATCCTCTGTCATCCCCTTCTCCTCCTGCCCCCAATCCCTCCCAGCATCACGGTCTTTTCCAATGAGTCAACACTTGGCATGAGGTGGCCAAAGTATTGGAGTTTCAACTTCAGCATCAGTCCTTCCAATGAACACCCAGGACTGATCTGCTTTAGGATGGACTGATTGGATCTCCTTGCAGTCCAAAGGACTCTCAAGAGTCTTTAACACCACAGTTCAAAAGCATCAATTCTTTGGCGCTCAGCTTTCTTCACAGTCCAACTCTCACATCCGTACATGACCACTGGAAAAACCATAGCCTTGACTAGATGGACCTTTGTTGGCAAAGTAATGTCTCTGCTTTTTAATATGCTGTCTAGGTTGGCCATAACTTTTCATCCAAGGAGTAAGCGTCTTTTAATTTCATGGCTGCAGTCACCATCTGCAGTGATTTTGGAGCCCCCAAAAATAAAGTCTGACACTGTTTCCACTGTTTCCCCATCTATTTGCCATGAAGTGATGGGACCAGATGCCATGATCTTAGTTTTCTGAATGTTGAGATTTAAGCCAATTTTTTCACTCTGCTCTTTCGCTTTCATCAAGAGGCTTTTTAGTTTCACTTTCTGCCATAAGGGTGGTGTCATCTGCATATCTGAGACTATTGATATTTCTCCTGGCAATATAGTCAAATATAAATAAACACAAATTTAAAATAATATGCTTAACTATCTCTTTTGAAAATAAGGGAAAAGATTTCTCTCCTTTTTCCTAGAGCATTTACTTTAGAAAACTATAAGTACTTTCTCCACTCTTTGAAATGTATATAAGTTCTCTTGAAATTATTATTTAGACAATAGAGACTACTTGATATGTATAATGTAATTCAATGCAATCTGGTCCTTTGTACTAGTTTTCAATTCATTCCCCAGACCGAAACCAGAGAAATCTGTCTAAATCACAAACCTACTGATGCTACCTCCTTTCATTCCATCCACCTTCTTACCTTTCAGTGACTCCCCAAGACATTTTAGATAAGTCTTTAACAAAAGGCCACTCTTAGTAAGTTCTCATTTGCCTCTTGCTGATCCCCACCTTGAAGTCGAGTTCAGTAGGACTGAACTTTCAGTTCTCAAAAAAAGCCATGTCTTTCGAGCTTTTGTTCTTTGCATGACCTGTCTTCTCACCTGAAAGCCTTGCCTCCCCTCTTCCATCTACATATCCTGGCCTGCCTACGTCCAGGTTGGATGGCATTCCCTGAAGAAGCATCCTTTGACTCTGCAAAGTTGGGTCACTGCCCTGCCTATCTGGCCCTCTGATCTCTTTCCCGTTAGAATATAATTCCCACAAAAGCAAGGATTCTTTTCAAGTTATTTACAGTTCTATTTCCAATGCTTAGCCTATGAGTATATGTTTTATATGAATGATCACTGTGGGTAGTGAGATAACATGAATGTGATCGCTTCAAATTTCAGAGCAGTGTACAACTTCCAACATTACCTATGATCAATTCACACTAAGGAATCCTTGTGATATGCCACACACCAGGACTTGTGCCAAGCAGGCAAATCACAAGGAAGGTGAGCTAACCAGGAGATCTATGACAGCTCCAGAAGCCAAGCACCCCTCTGTGTGGAGAAAAATGTATGTCCCCAGAAGATAAGCCTGCATTAGGTGGAGAATTACTCCTGGTACTACTGAAGTAACCGCTGACCCAGTGGTACGGCCTTTAAAAGCAGCCGAACACCAGCTCTCTGGGCTTCCAGAGGGTAGCTTGGGGGGAGGGGGGAGCTGAGTAGGGTCACAAGGAATAAACGCTATGCTTAGATTCAGACCACTGGGATCTGGACCTGAGAGGCACCCCCTCTCCTAGAGAAACATCAACCATTGGCCAACATAAATGCCCCTGCCCAGGAAAGAGGGAAAAGAATAAACTGGGAATGAGAAACCCTGCTCCCCTAGTCCCACAGGATCCCTCAAATCCAACACCAGGTAGTAAAACATGAGCGCACACACACTGAACTTACAATATAAAGATCACCAAGTCGGTACTGCTTTCCTTTTCTTCGTCCACGCTGATGACAATAAATGTTTTTTTGAATAAAAGGAAGCACATTTGTTCTAGAAGTTTAATGACAAAAATGTGAAATTATTCAGCTTCTCTGGGAAAATGTCATCTTGAGGGCTGTAACGATGTTTAACGGCATACCTGTTTTTCCCAAATTGCCGATACTCATAAATTGTAAGGGACTGGTCATGAGTGAAAAAGAATCCGACCAGCTCTCTGCAAGCATCACGTCCATTTCTAGAAAAAGAAAATGGTATCAAAGATTTTCAAATGGGATACTTTTCATATTTAATGATAGATGGATTCTATGTGTCAAACAGAGATACCAGGATTTGCTCAAATGCATGGTTATGGGAAACAACAAGGAAAAAATGACAGAGCTTGCCAAAGTGTCAACTTAATTCTGATTTGGGTGGAGAAAAAAGCTTTATCTTATGCTAATATGAATATGGATATATGCAATGTAGATTACTAATTTGGCTTGGACTTTTAAGACCTTAAAAAAATGTTGAGCTTGCAAGAAGCCACAAGATAGATATACATTTATTACCTTTTGTCACGGAAATTTTAAAATCACTGAACAAATATGCTTATTTCTAAAAAGCCACCTTACCTTTAATATTCATGAAGAACATCAAGTAGCATTATGTGCTACTGGCAGTTTGCAAGACTAGATAACAGATTTAAGAACCACCTTCCTTGTCACTTTACTACATCTACTGTTACTTTAAGCCATTAAAGTGAAGTTAAGTAAATTACAAAAAGGTTAATATTTAAGTAGTTTAGAATCTTCTAGTCGTAACATGTATCTTTAAAAATTCACTTTTACTTCTTTTTGAAAGACATTTTAAAATCACATTTTAAATAATTTCTAATTAAAATGTTTTTCTTTTCGACTCATACTCCTCATAATTTTTGTAAGAGATTAAATATATATTACCTAAAAATGTTTGTGGTAAATTCACTTAAATGTAAAAAAATTAACTAATTTCATTATTGCTATCTCTATTTGAAAAGAAAATACCTTTTAATAATCATAGGATTAAAAAATGTAATAAAGTCACAATTACCTTGATATGATCCTACCATCAAACTGCACTTTATGAGAAAGGATATTTTCAGTTAATGTAGACTGGGTCCTTACCCTGGTAAGAAATACAATGGTTAATAATTATCTTTAAAATATCTACATTAGAAAAGAAAAGTACCCAAGAGTTACGTCAGTATTCTCAAGTGCACATATTGGATAAAGATGAGGTGTAAACGTCTTTTTAGTCCAGACTGCTATTGCTAAGGCAGACAGAAGAAAGAACCCTGAGCTGTGGTATATAATGGGCCTCCCTGGCGGCTCAGTGGTAAAGAATCCACCTGCCAATGCAGGAGACATAGGTTTGATGCCTGGATCAGGTAGATACCCTGGAGCAGGAAATGGCCACCCGCTCCAGTATCCTTCAGAGGAAAATTCCATGAACAGAGAAGCCTGGTGGGCTACAGTCCATGAGGTCGCAAAAGAGTCGGACATGACTTAGCAGCTAAGCAAAAACAACAAATTGTATATACTACATGAATAACTTCTCTGCCAGAACGTATCATATCAAAGTGCTACGACAGCCAGTATGAAACAGAGGTCGCATGTTTGTGCCTGGCACTGTGGCGAAGCTAACCAACAGCCATGTCCAAGCCTCTTCTTCGCCTCTCTCCCATCACAGGATTTGCATTCTTAGCCTCTTACAACTAGAAGTGACTAAGGGACCCAGCTCTTCCAGTAGACTTTCAGGAAAGACTTTCTTTTGTGCTGATGAGAGAATGGCCCGGAAAGAGTCCCTGCCTGTGAACACGGCAGGGATATGATGCTGGCAGCCACTGTAGCCATCGGGCAACCGGAAAGATCTCAGGGAAGCCAGCCCAGAGCTGTGCCTCACTGAGCCACCGAACTAAAACCAACAGCTGGCCACCTCCAAGCAGCCGGTTATATAAGGAAAATAAATCCTGATTCGTTTAGGCCACTGTCAGTCAGGTCTTCAGTTATGGGTAGCCGAAAATATTCCTTGCCAAAACAGGGTAGAGACAAAGAGCGCTGGATGAGGCCACAGTTCTAGCTGTGAGACCTCAAATTAGGTATTTAATCTTTATGGCTTTTAGATGGCACTGAATGACCTCACAGAGACTGCCAGTCCTAAAATTCTGTTTAACAATATGAAGCAAAACCCAATGACACACACTTGACACCTTACTACCAATATTCTCCTCTGAAGATTCAGTGATGTCTCTTTACGTCCCTTCCTAAGTAGTTTTATGATATTCCCATAAAACTGCAGCTATAATGAAATTGCAATACTGTAAACAGTAAGTGTGTAGCTCACTGAGATCTTGAAATGTCATACCTCTATAAAAATCTAGGTCTCAATGAAAGGTAAGCAACATACAGCAAATAAGAACCTATAAATCAAATGAGAGTTCTGAACACAGAGTTGAGCCATGAAACTTTGGTCATCTCAATTCACTTTAATCCATTAGTAATAACATGTTCATTGAATGCCCACTATGTGCCTGAAACAATTCTAAATGCTGAGAAAATAAAAGCAATAACAATAATAGCTACTATTTATTAAGAACTTCCCAGACACTAGTCTGTGTTAAAATCTTTTTAATGTGTATTGGTTCATTTAATCCTTGTAGTAACTCAATGAATTAAGTGTTATTATCCCCGTTCTAAAAATAAGGTTTATACAGTTAAACAGTTAGCACATGGCATAGCCAAAAAAAAAAAAATTGCTCATAACCATTACATTATATTGCTTCACAAAGGTAAACAGAACTCAGTTTAACAGTGATAGATTGAAATAACAGCTTCAAGGATTCTAGTCTTCTTGAAAAGACAAAAATAAAAAATAGACATTTATATTATAAAATGGGAAGTTTCATGTTGGAGTTTTTGGTATCCAATACATAGCACCAATGCTTCTCCAAGTTCTTAACCAATGGAGAAATAAGAATCAGGTGGATGAAGACTCACATATAAATTTTCTTATTGCTAAAGCAGTTGGAAATCATGGTTTAGAAATGGAGCAACATCAAGCTAAGTCCTTAACACTAGACTGAAGCAGACTAGCCCACTCATTCCCACTGGGGAGGCGCCCTGTGAAGCTCGGTGCACGGGACGGAGTGTGCACTTCTGCAGACAGCTGGGTCTAGGAGCAAGAGCAGAGCAAGGCCTGCACGACACGTGCCAACGCCTGCTTCCTGCTCTATAGAGCAGGATCTTCTCCTCTTCCTCTGGGAATAATGGCTAAGGGCAGTGAAGTCCATCAATTCAATAATTCTAAGCAAACCCCCACAGGATTTTTTGTAGAACTAGACTAGCTAAATCTAAAACTTATATCAAAGAGGAAGGAGCCAAAGTGTGCCAAGATAATACTAAAGCTAAACAAGCTTTAAGTATTTAATATATAACAGTACTAATTAACACAGGATAATTCTGGTGCAGAGAGGCATAACAGGTAGATGAGACTGAAAACAACAACAACAACAACAACCACCAGAAACCAACCATACATTTGTAACAACTTCATATATGACATAAGTGGCATTACAAGTCAGAGAGAGAACGAGTTAGTGGTAGGGAGAGATTTTGTAAAGATACAAAGGACACTAACAATAAATGGATAGATTGGTAAACTGGTCTACAATAAATTTAGCAACTCTTGTTCATCAAAAGACATGATCAAAAGAATGAAAAGGGGACCAGAGGATAGGAAAATACACTTCCAACAAATATAGCTGAAAAAGGATTTATAACTAGAATATATAAGTAAGTTCCACAAATCAATATGGAAAAGATAACATAACGGAATAGACTTGAAGGGACTATATAGGATATCCTATAAGAGGATACCCAGATGACAAACAAACATATGCAGAAGTGCTCAACATCATTAGTCTTTAGTGAAATGTAAGTGAACATCACCAATATATACCCATAAAATCACCAATATGTTCAAACTACCACACAACTGCACTCATCTCACAAGCTAGCAAAGTAATGCTCAAAATTCTCCAAGCCAGGCTTCAATGGTACATGAACTTCCAGATGTTCAAGCTAAATTTAGACAAGACAAAAGATTCAGAGATCAAATTGCCAACATCCATTGGATCATCAAAAAAGCAAGAGAATACCAGAAAAACATCTACTTCTGCTTTATTGACTATGCCAAAGCCTTTGACTGTGTGGATCATGACAAACTGTGGAAAAATTCTTAAAGAGATGGGAATACCAGACCACCTGACCTGCCTCCTGAGAAATCTGTATGCAGGTCACAAAGCAGTTAGAACCGGACATGGAACAACAGACTGGTTCCAAATCGGAAAAGGAGTACGTCAAGGCTTAACTTAAATGCAGAGTACATCATGACAAATGCTGGGCTGGATAAAGTATAAGCGGGAATCAAAATTGCCAGGAGCAATATCAACAACTTCAGATACACAGATGACACCACCCTTATGGCAGAAAGTGAAGAACTAGATTTTCTCGATGAGAGTGAAAGAGGAGAGTGAAAAAACTGGCTTAAAACTCAACATTCAAAACACGAAGATTATGGCATATGGTGCCATCACTTCATAGCAAATAGATGGGAAACAATGGAAACAGTAACAGAATTTATTTTGGGGGGCTTCAAAATCACTGCAGATGGTGACCGCAGCCATGAAATTAAAAGAAGCTTGCTCTTTGGAAGAAAAGTTATGACCAACCTAGACAGCATATTAAAAAGCAGACATTACTTTGCCAACAAAGGTCCATCTAGTCAAAGCTGTGGTTTTTCCAGTAGTCACGTATGGATGTGAGAGTTGGACTGTAAAAAAAGCTGAGTGCCAAAGAACTGATGCTTTTGAACTGTGGTGTTGGAGAAGACTGTTGAGAGTCCCTTGGACTGCAAGGAGATCCAACCAGTCCATCCTAAAGGAAATCAGTCCTGAATATTCATTGGAAAGACTAACGCTGAAGCTGAAACTCACATACTTTGGCCACCTGATGTGAAGAACTGACAGTTTAGGAAAGATCCTGATGACGGTAAAGATCGAAGGCAGGAGGAGAAGGGGATGACGAAGGATGAGATGGTTGGATGGCATCACCAACCTGATAAGCATGAGTTTGAGCAAGCTCCACGAGTTGGTGATGGACAGGGAAGCCTGATGTGCTGCAGTCCATGGGGTCACAAAGAGTCAGACAGGACTGAGTGACTGAACTGACTGATACCCATAAGAGGGACTAAAATGAAAAATATAGATAATTACCAGTACTTATAAAGATACAGTGCTACTAGCACCTTCTTACTGCTACTGGTGGGAGTTTTAATTGCAGCAACCACTTTGGAAGACTATTTGGCAGTATTCTTTAAAGCTGAACATATGCATAGTAAATGGGCCAGCAATTCCACTTCTAAGTGAGTACTGAGCAGAAATGAGTACATATGTTCACCAAAAAGCACGCACTAAAGTTCATGGCAGCACTATTCATAAACTGCCAAATGTCCACCAACAGCTGTGAATAAACAAACTGTGGTATATTCATACAATAAAATACTGTACAGTAATGAGGATAGAGGATAACTACAAATAACACAGATTAAACTCACAAACATAACGTTAAGCAAAAGAATTCAGACTCAGAGTCCAAGTTTTGTGAGTTCATGTAAATTTACAAGCAGACAGTAACAATCTACAATGTTAGGATGGAGAGGTTACCCTGGGGTGGCAGAGGAGCTGTGGAGTAAGTGAGGGGCAGCACATGGATGGTTTCTGGGGTGCTGATCTATTTCTTGGTCTAGGAATAACACATACGTTTTGTGCAGTTTGTGAAAATTCCTATGCTGTACATTTAAAATGTGTTCACTTTGTGAATGAATGTTTTATTTCTATAAAAGTTTACTTTAAGAAAGAGAAGTTTAGACATGTGGTAGCTGAGTGATGGCCCCTGAAAGATACTCATATCCTAACCTTCAGGACACATAGTTAATTTACACATGATAACAGGGACTTTGCAAACGTGATTAAGTTAAAGGTCTGGAGGTGAGATTAATCAGGATTATACAGGTAGGTTCAGTGCAATCACAAGTGTTTTATAAAAGGAGAGCAGAAGGATATGTGATACCTACAGAAGAGGAACAGCAGAGTGATAACACTCCTCTGCTTTGAAGAAGGAAGAAGGGACCACAAGCCAAGGAATAAAGGCAGCCCCTAGACAGTGAAAAAGGCAAAGAAGCAATTCTTCCCTGAAGCCTCCAGAAGGAATGCAGTCCTGTCAGCACCTTGACTGTAGGTTTCTGAACTCCAGAAGTGGAAGAGAATAAATTTGTGTCATTTAAAAAATACTGTTTGTGGTAATCTGTTACAGCAGCAATAGGAAATTAATACATGATACCTTCAAATATTTAAAGGTATGGAAACTTCTAGAAAATAAGATAAGGCTTCTAGAAATAAGATAAGAATGAGACAAAAGACCAAAGTTATAAGAAAGTACTGATAATTATAACAATCTGAAAATATTAAAAAACTGCTCTAAGTACTGGTGGGTTTTCTATTCTATTAAATCTGAGGCTCAATGTCAATTATCAGTGAAGTTGGTGAGAACTTCCAGTGGACTGCACCAGCGAACCATAAAAGTCCACTCCAAACCAAGTACTTTGTGCTTCACAAAGGACTTGGTACTTTGTACTTTGTAAAAGGCAAAAAGTAATATTTTAAAAAAAATACTAATTTTGAATATATTATGTCATCGAAATTCAGCCAACATACATTATGCACATACAAATGTCTCGGTTACTACATTGTGTCTTTTCACATGTATTATTGCCTAAATTTCTGGCTGTCATTCCTAAATTATAAATAGAACATCTGGAGGGCAAAGTTTACCACAATATCTTAAAGTGACAGAACTGGGATCTGAACTCCAAAAATTTCACTTTCGTTTATACAGAAAAACTAAAAACACAAAGGAAAAAATTCTATTAGATACAAAAGTACATTTGAAAAATATATTTATAACATACTACATCCTTATTTTATATAAAGACCTTCTTACTTCGTTTCATGTAGTGTTCTTTTCCTAAATCGAATAGGTGCCAGCTTTGAATCTGGAAGGATATGAGCAATTTCTTGCTTCTCAGAGGTTAAATTTTGCTCTGGATCACTGATTACAGCCCTATACAGGAAAATACAACAGTCTGACAATTAAATACTATCATGAAATGCTCTAGTATTCACATATTCATAAGCAGTTGGAAAAACCCATATACAAATGCCAATTTATACTACTGGCAGAATGATCTGTCAGATATTAAATGAATAAATTTAGTAATTAAAAACATCATAAAAGTGAATATTCTTATCTATCTCTTTTTGCATAAGTATTATCTAAAAATAAATTGAAATTTCTGGGAGAATTTGGAGCTTCAGGTCTTCCTCTTACTATTCTTTAAACAAAGACTGTGCTGATGACTTTTGAATAAAAGACGGGAAGTAAAATATGTAAGCAACCATATGGATTTCTGGGGTGGGGAGGAAGCATTCCAAGCAGAAGGGAAAATAAATGCAAAATACCTGAGACATCAGTGAATCTGGTATGTTTCAGAAGGGGCGAAGCCAGATGGCAAAGCAGAGTAAACAAGAGAGACATAGGAAAAGGAGTCTAGGGTCTAACGGTGGGCAAAGCATGCAGGGACTGGGGAGAATGTGTTACTGACCCCAGATTTTTAGCACTCCTTATTCATGCCCTTGGCATGCCCTCATTATAAAGGCAGTGTACTTTCTTTGGCTTTAAGTTTAGCCATTGGAAATGCTTTGGCAGCCAGATGGCTCTGCTGATCTGACCTGAACTAATTCGTGCAAGTGTGGGTTGTTTGGGAATCTGTTCATCTAGGATAATCTTGGCTAAGTGGTCAAGTTGCATGTAGAGAAGGACTTTCTTTTTGAGAACAAGTGGGTTAACCAAGCTAACAAAGATGGCAGAAGCACAAAAAAGCAAATGGAAACATGAGATCTTTTAAGGATTAAACTCAGAATTAAGCCCACTGCTTTTGGTCATATATAATGGGCCAAAGTAAGTGAAAAGTAATAGCTTCTCAGCCATGTCTAGCCTGGACAGCTGACCTGAAGACACATGAGCTATAATTCATGACTACTGTTCTAAGCTACTAGGTTTTATAGCGATATGTAACCAATACATGTGCATGCTCAGTCACTTCAGTCACGTCTGATTCTGCAACCCCATGGACTGCAGCCCACAAGGCTCCTCTGTGCATAGGAGTCTCCTGGCAAGAATACTGGCATGGGTTTCCATTTCCTCTTCCAGAGGATCTTCCCGACCCAGGGACTGAACCCTTGTGTCCTCTGTCTGCTGCATTGCAGCAGATTCTTTACCCACTGGGCCACCTGGGAAGCAACCAATACATAGGTCTTACAGATTTTACTCTGATTGAGATGGGAAGTTACTGGAAGGTTTGATGTGGCTTATGTTTTTAATGGACTCACTCTGGCTGCTAGGTTGAGAACAGACCAACTAGGGGCAAATGCAGGTACAATGAGTCCAATTAGAAACTGTCTGAAATAATCCAGGAGATAGGAGATGACAGGGTGAACACGGAGCGGGGTAGCAGGGAGGGATAAATTTATTTGATGGGAGACCTGAGTTTGCCAACAAACTGCATGTAAGATTTGAGAGAAACAGAAGGATTAAAGGTATTAACAAGATTTTAGACCTAAATAACTTGAAGAATTATTACAAATAGCTGAGAAAAGAAAAGATGCAAAAGGCAATGGAGAAAAGGAAAGACATACCCATTTGAATGCAGAGTTCCAAAGAATAGCAAGGAGAGAAAAGAAAGCCTTCCTCAGTGATCAGTGTAAAGAAATAGAGGAAAACAAAAGAATGGGAAAGACTAGAGATGTCTTCAAGAAAATTAGAGATACCAAGGGAACTTCTCATGCAAAGATGGGCACAAAAAAGGACAGAAATGCATATGGACATAACAGAAGCAGAAGACATTAAGAAGAGGTGGTATGAATACACAGAACTATAGAAAAAAGATCCTCATGACCCAGATAATGACGATGGTGTGATCACTCACCTAGAGCCAGACATCCTGGAACGTGAAGTCAAGTGGGCCTTAGCAAGCATCACTACAAACAAAGCTAGTGGAGCTCATGGAATTCCAGTTACGTTATTTCAAATCCTAAGAGATAATGCAGTGAAAGTGCTGCAATCAATATGCCAGCAAATTTGGAAAACTCAGCAGTGGCCACAGGACTGGAAAAGGTCAGTTTTCATCAATTCCAAAGAAAGGCAATGCCAAAGAATGCTCAAACTACCACACAAGTGCTACATGCTAGTAAAGTAATGCTCAAAATTCTCCAAGCCAGGCTTCAATGGTACGTGAAACATGATCTTCCAGATGTTCAACCTGGATTTAGAAAAGGCAGAGGAACTAGAGATCAAACTGCCAACATTTCATAGATCATCGAAAAAGCAAGAAAATTCCAGAAAAACATCTACTTCTGCTTTATCAACTACACCCAAGCCTTTGACTGGGTGGATCATAATAAACTGTGGAAAATTCTTCAAGAGATGGGAATACCAGACCACTTGACCTGCCTCCTGAGAAATCTGTATGCAGGTCAAGAAGAAACAGTTAGAACTGGACACGGAACAACAGACTGGTTCCAAATCAGAAAAGGAGTACATGAAGGCTGTATATTGTCACCCTGCTTATTTAACTTATATGCAGAGTACATCATGAGAAACGCTGGGCTGGAAGAAGCACAAGATGGAGTCAAAATTGCCTGAAGAAATGTCAATAACCTCAGATATGCAGATGATACCACCCTTATAGCAGAAAGTGAAGAAGAACTGAAGAGCCTCTTGATGAAAGTGAAAGCGGAGAATGAAAAAGTTGGCTTAAAACTCAACATTCAGAAAACTAAGATCATGGAATCCAGTCCCATCACTTCACGGCAAATAGATGGGGAAACAATGGAAACAGTGAGAGACTTTTATTTTGGGGGGCTCCAAAGTCACTGCAGATGGTGACCACAGCCATGAAATTAAAAGATGCTTGCTCCTTGTCATACATTGACATGAATCAGCCATGGAGTTACATGTATTCCCCATCCCAATCCTCCCACCTCCCTCTCCACCCGATTCCTCTGGGTCTTCCCAGTGCACCAGGCCCGAGCACTTGTCTCATGCATCCCACCTGGGCTGGTGATCTGTTTCACTATAGATAATATACATGCTGTTCTCTCGAAACATCCCACCCTCGCCTTCTCCCACAGAGTTCAAAAGTCTGTTCTGTAAATCTGTGTCTCTTTTTAAAACTGTTTTGCATATAGGGTTATCATTACCATCTTTCTAAATTCCATATATATGTGTTAGTATGCTGTAATGTTCTTTATCTTTCTGGCTTACTTCACTCTGTATAATGGGCTCCAGGTTCATCCATCTCATTAGAACTGATTCAAATGAATTCTTTTTAATGGCTGAGTAATATTCCATGGAAGGAAAGTTATGACCTACTCCTTGGAAGGAAAGTTATGACCAACCTAGATAGCATATTAAAAAGCAGAGACAGTACTTTGACAACAAACATCTGTCTAATCAAAGCTATGGTTTTTCCAGTTGTCATGTATGGATGTGAGTTTTGGACTATAAAGAAAGTTGAGCACTGAAGAATTAATGATTTTGAACTATGGTGTTGGAGAAGACTCTTGAGTGTCGCTTGGACTGCCAGGAAATCAAACCAGTCCATCCTAAAGGAAAACAGTTCTGAATATGTACTGGAAGGACTAATGCTGAAGCTGAAACTCTGATATTTTGGCACCCTGATATGAAGAACTGTCTGCTTAGAAAAGACCCTGATGCTGGTAAAGATGAAAGGCAGGAGGAGAAGGGGACAACAGAGGATGAGAATGTTGGATGGCATCACTGACTCGATGGACATGAGTTTGGGTAAGCTCTGGGAGCTGGTGATGGACAGGGAAGTCTGGCGGTGCTGCAGTCCGTGGGGTTGCAGAGTCAGACATGACTGAGCCACTGAACTGATGGACTGAACTTGAAGAATATTGTTGCCATGGAAGAAAACTAAAGGGGATTTCATAATGAGGAAAGGAAAGAGAACAACTTTCAGAAACCAAAGTAACATCTTCCAACGTTACTTTGAGATTTGGATTAGCGCCGCATCAGCATAGAGATGGTTACTGAAGACCCGATACTGGATGAAATCACCTAGAAAGTGAAAGAAGTCCAAGAAGCAGAAGTCCTTGTGTGTGTATGCGTGTGTATAAAGATAGGAGAGGTGAAGAGGAACTAAGAGAGGAGGCTGAGGATTGGAAAGTAGGAGGATTACCCAGCCACGTACAGTATGCCAGAGCCAAGGAGGAAAGAGAAAGTGCTTCAAAGACAAGAAAGCTCTCAGCCCAGCAGATGGCACTGACGGGGTGAGTAACTGAGAATTAGGAAATTGCCATTAACCAGCAGTATGGAGTCGCTAGTTATCTTAGGAAGAGACACTGCAGTGGCATTTTGGGAGTAAGAATGTAAAGTCGCTTCACGAGGTCATAAAAGGAGAAATACTGAAGACTGTAAGCAAAACTGTGTCAAAAAAGTAACTAAGAAACATGCATACAGACTATTATTCTTTCTCTCTGCCAACCAACTAAGTAGTTATCTTTTTCAAAGCTAACCTTGAGTCTTACCTCTGCTGTGAAGACTTCCTAGACTATTCCAGCCTCTTCTGAAATCCTGCATTACTTACATATTCATGCAATTTAGCACAGTAGGTATTGAAACTTTATCTAGTTTTCTAAGGGTTGTGAAATTTTACATTAGGCTTTAAAACTCCTGACAATCCCACAGTTCCCAAACTTGCACTGAGTCACACTCGGGTGTCACAGGGAAGGTAAAGGAACACTGCTGGATATTTTCAGGTTTTGAGGGAAATAGTGATACTTCATAATTGTGGCATGCCACAAAATCTACTAGCTCCAAGTAATTCACAGCTTCAGCAAAATACCACATGACACTCCATCAATGAACGATAGCACATCTTTGCAAAACTGGCTTTTCTACAGTTGCTGTGATAAAAAGCAGGTGCCATGTGGACTAGAAAGTGAGAGTGGCCGCATTCTATACAATTCTAAGATTTGAGAGATTATTTGTCATCCAAGGAGTGCATATGTCCCATTAGTGAGTAACTGCCTATTTATTAAAGAAGTAAAACATTTTTTTCAGTTTGTATTATTTTTTCAGATGACCATTAAGTTATTAGGAAGAAAATACTTACTAAGCTATTTAGACAAAAAATACTTAGTAAATAGAACTGTTAAGTATTTCTGTTGGACAAGGAGTCTGGTGGAAAAAATAATCACTGAAACCCCTACAAATGCAGTAAACAGAGCAAGTATGGAAACCTCTGAGTTGACCATGCCAATGCAGATGTCATGTATACAAAGGAAATGTAACGAGTGCTTTCTGAATGGATCTCTATGAACGCTTACCTGGATAAGTGGTCTATCATCACTTGCTCTGCAACCATCTGTTTCTTCCTCTCTGCAGCCACAAATTCCTGAGAAGAGAAAATAAAGAAAACGCCATTGTCCATAAAGCAGAACACTATAGTTAACACAAGAGTCCTAAAACATAAATTAAACATTTTCAATTTCTTTCTTAAATAGAGATTACCATATCATCATTCCCCAATGGCTTCCCCAGTGGCTCAGCAAGGAAAGAATCTGCCTGCAACACAGTTGACACAGGAGATGCGGGTTTCATCCCTGGGTCAGGAAGATCCCTGGGAGAAGGAAATGGCAACCTGCTCCAGTATTCTTGCCTGAGGAATCCCATGACAGAGGAGCCTGGCAGGCTACAGTCTAGGGGGTTGCAAAGAGTTGGACATGACTGAGAGACTAAGCACATTCATATCATCATTAATAAAAGTAAAGTCCAATTATTTAATCTAAAAACACATTTATTTGCTAAAATAAAAAGCCTCTTGATGAAAAAAATAAATAAATAAAAATAAAAATAAAAAAAAGCCTCTTGATGAAAGTGAAAGAGGAGAGTGAAAAAGTTGGCTTAAAGCTCAACATTCAGAAAACTAAGATCATGCATCTGGCCCCATCACTTCATGGGGAATAGATGAGGAAACAGTGGAAACAGTGTCAGACTTTATTTTGGGGGGCTCCAAAATCACTGCAGATGGTGATTTCAGCCGTGAAATTAAAAGATGCTTACTCCATGGAAGGAAAGCTATGACCAACCTAGACAGCATATTAAGAAGCAGAGACATTACTTTGCGAACAAAGGTCCGTCTAGTCGAGGCTATGGTTTTTCCAGTGGTCATGTATGGATGTGAGAGTTGGACTGTGAAGAAAGCTGAGCACTGAAAAACTGATGCTTTTGAACTGTGGTGTTGGAGAAGACTCTTGAGAGTCCCTTGGACTGCAAGGAGATCCAACCAATCCATCCTAAAGGAGATCAGTCCTGGCTGTTCATTGGAAGGACTGATGCTGAAGCTGAAACTCCAATACTTTGGCCACCTCATGCGAAGAGTTGACTCGTTGGAAAAGACCCTGATGCTGGGAGGGATTGGGGACAGGAGGAGGAGGAGACAACAGAGGATGAGATGGCTGGATGGCATCACTGACTCGATGGGCATGAGTTTGGGTAAACTCTGGGAGTTGGTGATGGACAGGGAGGCCTGTCATGCTGCAATTCATGGGGTCACAAAGAGTCGGACTCGACTGAGCGACTGAACTGAACTGAACTGAATACCTTTAAATTTTGGTAGAAATCATCAGTGATTTCCATATCAGTCAGACAATGGTTGTAAAACCCAGAAGCAAGTGAGAGAGGTGACATTGACGAGTATAGAGTCCCCGGAGAACATGCACCGTGGGTGTTGACATTTATGGTGGCTTATACTTTGGAGGAAAGGCTAGAACCACCCTCAGGCACATTGATTTAGAGAGCTGTGTAAACAGAAGGCAGATTAGAAGCAGAAATCACACAAATGCAACTGAAAAATGACAAAGTGGAAGAGATGGATATAAAAACCATAGGTTCACTGCTTCTGTTGTTCATTTAGTTAAACACTAAGTTGAAAAGTTTCCACATACATTTAAAAAGTAAATTGGTGCTAATTTCAGATGCATTCAAGATTTACTCATGCAAAACATTTGCTTTAAAATAGTGATACAGGGGTGTACCACAATAGAGTAAAATGTGCTTGACGGTGAATTTAGATGTGATGCCACTAAGAAAGTAATTGAATGGGAAAAGAAATCCACAAACACCTAGATGGCTCTGGACTATACTAAGAGCAGTAGCCAAAAGGCCTTAGGTATTTAATAACATCCATTCAAGTATAACTTTAGTGAAAAATGAAAGTTGCTCAGTCATGTCTGACTCTGTGACACTGTGAACTATAGACTGCCAGTCTCCTCCATCCATGCAATTCTCCAGTCAAGAATACTGGAGTAGGTTGCCGTTACCTTTTTAGGGGATCTTCCCAACCCAAGGATCAAACCAGAGACTCCTGCATTGCAGGGAGATTCTGTACCGTCTGAGCCACCAGGTAAGCCCCAAAAGAGTATACTTTAGAAATATACCAAAGTATGCCTTATCTGGGACACAACTTTGCCCTACAAGGAATATTTTTAAATTTTTTTACAATCCTGGTAATACTCCTTGTTCTATTAGGTATAAACATCTATATAATAATAGGCATACAAATTAATGTACATGTGATTTTTAATAAACAAACAAATTACCAACTTGGGACATCTGCAGAAAATCAGTCCACCTGACCCAGAGATTGATTACATCTTGCTGTCAGTTCAGAATGTATTGATTCAGGATGATTGCTATCCAAATAAAATCTATTTTGAATATCCACTCAGTGATAATGTATGTAGCTAAATCCATGTTGCTTTATTATTATTTAGGCCATCTAAAGCAGAATTTTCTCAATTTTAAGCCAACACACACTGATAGCCCATCAATCAATTACAGGTGTACCTGAGGTATTAATCACCTGGGAGTGTCTAGGGAGCCAGTGGCCTCCAACTCCAAGCAGCTTGGTCTGCATATGCCCGGACACTATAGAAATGTTACAATTATCTATTTGTACAGTAACCAGTCTAAGTAATACTCATTAAGAAATCTCATTGTTTTTGTAAAAGATATAATTTAAAGTTAATATTGAGCCTAGAGCTTTGTTTCCCTTTTCCTAAAGAAAAATTACTTTACCCCTGCCCTTTAGTTTTATTAGCTTATGATTTTCAAAACAAAAAGATTATCCAGCTACTTCTTTGTGGGGAAAGGAGTGATACCAGATTAGCCCATTGTCATCGTGGTCAGTTAACAGTCTGAACAGTGTAAACTAAATTTTGACAAACTTCCAAGGATTCAAGATGACTTTTCCGCAGTAAACATACCAAACGTCAATCCATGGTAAGAGTGAGGACTGAACCTGGCATATTAATGACTATTCACCTCAGTCCAACTTCAACTGTTGGAATCATTTATTCAAATTCAAGGCTATAAAATTTCAGAGGGCAAATTATCTTAACAGTTTATCAAATCAGTAAAAGTACCAATAACTTACAGCATCAGATTTTCCTGTACTCCGTTGGAGGATGTGAGGGTTGTCTGCATAACCCAGCTGTAGGAGGGCTTTCCTGTCCAAAGTTGTCAGATCATCTGTGATGGCTTCTGCACCTTGTACACACTAGATGTGAAGCAATAAGTGAACCCTCATATGCATGCTTAGAATATTTGTTTTTAATAACATAAAGACTAAAACAATAACTGGATACATCAGATAAAGAGTATAGGCTCTGATAATCAGACCGCCTATTGAATCCATCTCTCCCACTTTATAGCTACATGACATCTCTGTGCCTCGGTTTACTCATAAATAAAATGGCAATTAATATTAGTAACTGTTTTGTACTCCAAAAAAATGATTAAATGAGGTGATACCTGGCCAACACATATCAGAAGTACCTGACATATAATAAGCATTACATAAAAAATAGCAACTATTATAACTATAGTTGTCCAATTGAGTCTTTGTAAAGTTAATAAATATGGGCCTGTCATTCCTTTACAAAGCTAAGTTCACAAGTAAAGTGATACTAATATATGGGTGTATCCTTTGGGACTGTTAAAATCCAACACAAACAGAAACCAGCCTTCAAAATTCCCTGAGCAGACAATACCAGTTTAGTCATACAAGCAAAGCTTAATTTAGCTTATTTTACAAGACAGGTGAGACTAACTTGACCAGGGTTACTTCCTTCTTGTGTGTCTAGAAATCATAAGTGAAACTTAAACTGTTCCCCCAAACTGATATGAAGTAACCACTAACTAATCCCTTATCATTTAAGAAAATTCTTGTATTATAACCAATCACTGTGGAGCATAAACAGTCACTGCCTCCTCACTATGTAAACTGCTTTACAACAATAGCTCCCTGGGTCTCTTTCCATGTTTAATCTGAGTACTTCCGGTTCACGAACTGACCTTTTGGTGTGTACACAAAACTTTTACTAATGACTGCTTTGGTGATTCATTGGTTTTATGTCTGCTATTTCTGAACTTTTAACAAGGATTCTAATGAGATAAATGCTAAATTTTTCTCTGAATATTAGATGTGTTTATATGAGCGTAACAAAAAATAATGCTCCAATAGGATGGCACCTTATCAAAAATGTAATAGATTACAAGTATATCTCCCCAGGGCTTGTTCTTACTTTAGATTTTCCTTGAAAGGTCACATTTCATCTTCATAATCTTCGCTGTCTCCATGACCTTTGATTGCTACATGAAACTTTATTATACATTTGTTTATGATTTGTTGCCTGCCTCTCCTGTTGTAAGTTCCACGAGGGTAGGAACCTTGTCTGTCTTTTCATTGCAGGATCCCTGGTGCCAGAGCAGGACCACATGTAGTGAGCACTGTATATGTATCCAATGAATGAATAATAAATCTTAAGTGTGTACTATTGAGAAATAAATTTATGAGGATACTTTATAATTTTATTTATTTACCCACTAATATCTGTTTTTCCTAAATAGTGATTTGACAGTCACCAGAAAGATGTTTAACATTATATAAGGTAAATTTAAGAAAGATTAAATTAATAGACATGTTTCAGTATAAGCCAGGTTCTGCATTACATATAGGTTGGAGGAAACTTTCAAAGGCATCTTATTTTATTTCAACTTGTTTTCAGTCTTTTACCCAAGGGAAACAGTGGCTTTTCCACTTGGCATCCCAGACTTAACCTCCCCAAATCAGACTTCACTATGATATCCCCCACTCCAGTTAATGAAAAATACACCCTTTGAACTGCTCAGCTCAAAAAGCCTTAGAGCCATCTTTCATCTTTCCTTTCTCTCAAGCCTAAAGCCAATCCATCACCAAATATTCTGAGCCTTACCTTCAGAAACTGTCTAGAATCGAACTCCTCGTTGTGACCACTTCTTATCCAAATCTGCTACAACCACCTGGGTCCAAGCAGGCATCCTTATCTCTTGCCTGGATTATTGGGATAGTCTCCGCAGCAAAACCCATTCTCAACAAAATGGAATAGAAGGCAACGTCTTGAAGTGGTCTACAAGACCTCTCTGATCTGCCTCCCAGCCTCTGCTACCCTTTAACTCACTGAAAAAATCTCCTCCCACCTCTCCCTTGCTCTTCTCTCTCATCACACTGTTCTTAATATTTCTTAAATACTCCAGGCCCACTCCTACTTCATGACACTGAGAGTTTCTTCTAACTGGCTTGCCTCGTACCCCTTTTGAATGTGCCCTAAAATGCTACCTTAAGGTAAAGATCTTCTCTGATGATCCCTTACAAACTACAACCCCAACCTTGGCTTTCCAAGTTTCCTTCTACTCATAGCATTTATCATCATCTGTCATATTAGAGGACTTCCTGGTGGCTCAGATGATAAAGAATCTGCCTGCAATGCAGGAAATCTGGATTCCATCTCTGGATCAGGAAGATCCTCTGCAGAAGGGAATGGCTACCCAACTGATTCATTCATTCATTTATTATTAATTTTTTTTTCCTGCAAGAGAAGGAATATTTGTCTGTTCTAGTCACTGACTTATCACCAGTGCCTGGAAAGGTACCTTGCATATCATGAAACATTAGATAACTATTTTTGAAAGAATAAACAATGAATGAGTTGGTAGGTTTTTTGTCTTTTTATAGAGTTAGTGAAAAAAGTTATATTTGGAATGATCACATGCTAGTAAAGTAATGCGCAAAATTCTCCAAGCCAGGCTTCAGCAATTTGTGAACCATGAACTTCCAGATGTTCAAGCTGGTTTTAGAAAAGGCAGAGGAACCAGAGATCAAATTGCCAAAATCCTCTGGATCATTGAAAAAGCAAGAGAGTTTCAGAAAAACATCTATTTATGCTTTACTGACTATTCCAAAGCCTTTGACTGTGTGGATCACAATAAACTGTGGAAAATTCTGAAAGAGATAGGAATACCAGACCACCTGACCTGCCTCTTGAGAAACCTGTATGCAGGTGAGGAAGCAACAGTTAGAACTAGACATGGAACAACAGACTGGTTCCAAATAGGAAAAGGAGTACGTCAAGGCTGTATATTGCCACCCGGCTTATTTAACTTATATGCAGAGTACATCATGAGAAATGCTGGGCTGGAAGAAACACAAGCTAGAATCAAAATTACCAGGAGAAATATCTATAACCTCAGATATGCAGATGACACCACTCTTATGGCAGACAGTGAAGAAGAACTAAAGAGCCTCTTGATGAAAGTGAAAGACAAGAGTGAAAAAGTTGGCTTAAAGTTTAACATTCAGAAAACTAAGATCATGGCATCTGGTCCCATCACCTCATGGGAAATAGATGGGGAGACAGTGGAAACAGTGGCTGACTTTATTTTGGTGGGCTCCCAAATCACTTCAGATGGTGACTGCAGCCATGAAATTAAAAGATGCTAACTTCTTGGAAGGAAAGTTATGACCAATCTAGACAGCATACTAAAAAGCAGAAACATTACTTTGCCAACAAAGGTCAGTCTCATCAAGGCTATGGTTTTTCCAATGGTCATGTATGGACATGAGAGTTGGACTATAAAGAAAGCTGAGCACAGAAGAATTGATGCTTTTGAACTGTGGTGTTGGAGAAGACTCTTGAGAGTCCCTTGGACTGCAAGGAGATCCAACCAGTCCATCCTAGAGGAGATCAGTCCTGGCTGTTCATTGGAAGGACTGATGCTGAAGCTGAAACTCCAATACTTTGGCCACCTGATGCAAAGAGCTGACTTATTTGAAAAGACCCTGATGCTGGGAACGATTGAGGGCAGGAGGAGAAGGAGACGACAGAGGATGAGATGGTTGGATAGCATCACCGACTCAATGGACATGAGTTTGGGTAGACTCTGGGAGTTGGTGATAGATAGGGAGGCCTGGCGTGCTGAGGTTCTTGGTGTCGCAAAGAGTTGGACACGACTGAGTGACTGAACTGAACTTAACAGAACTGAACATAAGTACAATTAATTAATATTAATTTGGTAATTAATATTATTTCCTATAAAATTGAAGTTTGATTTTCAGTGTTTAATTTAAAGGTATTTCATTACTTTAAAAATATATATACCCACCCACACAAATACAGATAAATTTACATTTTACATGATAAAACAATTTGACAGTGAGATTCATCACCTTTTTTACTAAATGGAAGGAAAGCTCAAAACAGGAAATTTGCCTTTAGAATCAAGCAGAGTGGAACTATTTTACTGTTTGATATTATCAATTGATTGATGTATCAGCCTATTTAGTTAGTAGCTATAGCCTCTAGTTATTGTCTTGGATTCCGAATACATCTAACTTTAGCTTTTCTTTATCAGCAAAGAGAATCAATTTGCATGTGACTCCCTGCTTTAAAAAGGGGCTATGTTTCAGATATCAGGGATCTTTTTGTTTCTAGAGATTAATATCCCAGTGGTAATTCATGTAATTATAATAGGATTTAGTAACAGCAAATTTATACAGCAGTTTTGGTTCTAATAAGAGTGTACTTTTAAAATGACATCAGATAAGTTGCTCAAACTCCGTAAATACAAGATTATTATATATAGAATATATAGAAACCAGGGATATTTTTGTGAGACTACCAAAAACATATTAAACTTCTAATATGTAGGTTAAAAAAGTAAAACAAGATATTCTCCAAAAGAAAATATGGAAATGCTGGCTGCTATTTATAAAACCCTTATTCATTCATATGGTAAGATTTGCAAACAATATGTATCTTCTCTTAAACCAAAAGTAAACAAGCATCCTCATTTGAACTTGTGTCCAAAGGTATCAAGGTTTTACTTTAAAACTATTTGAACTGTTTTGCTATGAAAAGGAAAATATGCACTTATAGAAACTTTCATTCTGTTTTCCCAAGATTATTACAATGATCTAAATATCACATGGTAGATCCTACAGATACTACACACCCAGGTGCTAAACAGTTATGAAATTATCCTATCTGCTATTACAGACACTAGAATACTATATTTATGTACATCTGTTTGAATCTGGAAAATTAGTTTTAAAATAAAAATGACCAAATAATCCCATAACTTTTGTTACTCTTTTAGCTAAATACCACGGGTTTTAGTGAGTTCCAGATAGTCTCTACATGGATTAGAAAAAATAAAGCTGATATGCCACATCTACTTACAACTTATTTAGGTATAAACTCACCATTCATGAATACAAGAGCAAAGTAAACATAATAAATTTAATGGCTTTTCACAAGCATACCAGAAAGGTTAAACTTGAATTTTAGAAAGATTTTACAACTTAATCTTTTTACTCAACAGTAAATGCTAAGTAAATACAACTATTAAACTTCCCTGAAAACACATTATTCTTATTAAAAGTTAACTGAATGAAGAATTGTATCTAAGTGCTCTTTCTTTATGATCAGTAGTGTCATAAACTATGTTTTCAAACCTTCTAAAATTCAAGGTTCATCTTTTTTATATGCTTGTGAAATGCCATTGAATTTATTATGTTTAATTTGCTCTTATATTCATGAATGGTGAGTTTATATCTAATTAAGATTAAATTAAAATATAACAGCTTCAGCAATTCATGATGTTAAAAGTATCTCCCAAACTCAGCTAGAAAACAATCATGGAGTGATGACAGTTTTAAAATAAAACAGGGTCACTTTAAAGTCTGAAACCACTTTTCAACTTTAAAGTTTAGTCTTTAAAGTGAGAACAATGGAGTTCAAGACAGTTTCGTCAGAAACAGATATGTAATACTGCCTTATTTCCAACCCAAGGCAAGTGAAAAACTACAGAGAAAAGACGATTAGGTCATATGACTAAATTTTTCCCATCTGAAAATAACCCATTTAAGTTGTTGTGAAGAATAAACTAGTTAATGTAAGTAAAATAGTTAAAGAGAGTCCCTGGTACACAGAAGTAAGTGTTAGCTATTACACTTTATTATGACTAACAACAGGATATATCGGGCAGAAAGATGCTTCTATCATACATATACTGTTTTCTTTAAATTCCATTACAGTTTTGTAAAGCCTCGTACATTACCTTGTCATCTGTCTTGTTTCTTGGAGTCTGTTGATGTGTGATACTTGACTTTGCCTTTTCTGCATTTCTCTGACTGTGTTGTTTGTATCCCCCTTTCATTTCAATTTTGTATTGCTGATGTTTTACTTTATATTTGTCTGTTGGTGCTAGCAAATTTTCAGGTATTATGTCCTGCTCCAAGAAGTAAAAAGAAAAAGTATGCTATCCATCATAAAAAAATTCAAAATTACTATTAATTTTCCTTATTAACATTAAACAAGTTTACCATTTACTTTAGCATTTATGCTTAAGAAACATCACTATGATCTATTTTCTAAAGAGAGGTAATATTTAAAACATTTAGCTGGTGCAGCATGCCTGAGTGGGCACTGGCCTCAAATACCATTAAGCCTGTATCTTGTTTCACAGCTGGAGATCAATTCTGGTTCTAAAACAGAGAGTAGAAAGAATGACTTTTCTCTCTTCTTACGAGTTTTAGATAGCTTATTTTACTCCTGCCTCGGAAAACCTCCGTTGCCAAAAATTTGCCAGAATAGTCTTTGGAATTGGAGGTCACTAATATTGAGAAGCTCCGGTTGCCATTTCTTGAATATTGAAATATTCTATCTTATGGTGTTATCTGGCTCCCTTCCACATGTCCATGGAATGAAAGGTAACACAGTCAGGCGATAAGAGAAACCTACAAAGAATAGTCAGTAAATATACACTGTCCCATAGAGGGACAGCAACTCCAACAGGAGCATAAAGCTAGTACAACATTTGAAACATTTTGTATCCAAGTGTGTACTCACAGGAGAAGAATGAGACAAGGCTTTGGGTGAAAACTGTAACATGATACCGATTAAGGTACTATTCATGTAATCTAACCAAAACAAGATGGAGGAGATCACGAATGGAAAAAGATGGACAAATACATAAAAGTAAGCCCAACTGGTTCTGACTACTAGTCAGAACTTGTGCTCATGACATGAAATAAACCACTTAATATTGTTTGAAGTATAAATATGTCCCAAGGAGACAGTTTGCAATAAGTACTTACTTCTTCATAGTATCCTCATAGCCTAAATTATGTCAAGAGACATACAAGTTTAAAGAGACGAGTTTTATATTTTTAACCTAGCCACATCCGATCTAATTTTATGCCCGTAGTATAAACCTATAGTTTACCAATTTTCTAAGACATTTTAAAAATGCCATTCTTATGTGAGGCAAAAATGTAAAACAAAGTAAAATTCATCAACAGTACTGTCTGAGATACTAATATACACTCGGTGTGTGTGTTAGTCACTCAGTGGTGTCCAACTCCTTGGACCATGTGGACTGTAGACTGCCAGGCTCCTCTGTCCATGGAATCCTCCAGGCAAGAATACTGGAATGGGTAGCCATTCCCTTCCCCATGGATCTTCCCCACTCAGGGATCGAACACAGGTCTCCTGCATTGCAGGCAGATTTGTTACCGTCTGAGCCACCAGGGAAATCCTCATACACACTAACTATATTTAAACTAGCGCTACTCCACGTTCAAGGTCAGGAGGGGTGGCCGTGAGAAGATACCCCTCGTCCAAGGTAAGGAGCAGTGGCTGCGCTTTGCTGAAGCAGCCGTGAAGAGATACCCCATGTCCAAGGGAAGAGAAACCCAAGTAAGACAGTAGGTGTTGCGAGAGGGCATCAGAGGGCAGACACACTAAGACCATAATCACAGAAAACCAGCCAATCTGATCACAGGACCACAGACTTGTCTAACTCGGTGAAACTAAGCCATGCCGTGTGGGGCCACCCAAGACGGTCGGGTCATGGTGGAGAGGTCTGACAGAATGTGGACACTGGAGAAGGGAATGGCAAACCACTTCGGTATTCTTACCTTGAGAACCCATGGACAGTATGAAAAGGCAAAATGATAGGATACTGAAAGAGGAACTCCCCAGGTCGGTAGGTGCCCAATATGCTACTGGAGATCAGTGGAGAAATAACTCCAGAAAGAATGAAGGGATGGAGTCAAAGCAAAAACAATACCCAGCTGTGGATGTGACTGGTGATAGAAGCTAGGTCCGATGCTATAAAGAGCAATATTGCATAGGAACCTGGAATGTTAGGTCCATGAATCAAGGCAAATTGGAAGTGGTCAAACAGGAGATGGCAAGAGTGAATGTCGACATTCTAGGAACCAAGGAACTAAAATTGACTGGAATGGGTGAATTTAACTCAGATGGCCATTATATCTACTACTTTGGGCAGGAATCCCTTAGAAGAAATGGAGTAGCCATCATGGTCAATAAAAGAGTCTAAATGCAGTACTTGGATGCAATCTCAAAAATGACAGAATGCTCTCTGTTCATTTCCAAGGCAAATCATTCGATATCAAAGTAATCCAAGCCTATGCCCCAACCAGTAACGCTGAAGAAGCCAAAGTTGAACGGTTCTATGAAGACCTACAAGACCTTTTAGAACTAACACACCAAAAGGATGTCCTTTTCATTATAGGGGACTAGAATGCAAAAGTAGGAAGTCAAGAAACACCTGGAGTAACAGGCAAATTTGGCTTTGGAGTACGGAATGAAGCAGGGCAAAGGCTAATAGAGTTTTGATAAGAGAACGCACGGGTCATAGCAAACACCCTCTTCCAACAACACAAGAGAAGACTCCACACATGGACATCACCAGATGGTCAACACCGATCAGATTGATTATATTCTTTGCAGCCAAAGATGGAGCAGCTCTATACAGTCAGCAAAAACAAGACTGGGAGCTGACTGTGGCTCAGATCATGAACTCCTTACTGCCAAATTCAGACTTAAACTGAAGAAAGTAGGGAAAACCACTAGACCATTCAGGTATGACCTAAATCAAATCCCTTATGACTATACAGTGGCAGTGAGAAATAGATTTAAGGGACTAGCTCTGATAGACAGACAGCCTGATGAACTATGGACGGAGGTTTGTGATATTGTACAGGAGACAGAGATCAAGACCATCCCCATGGAAAAGAAATGCAAAAAGGCAAAATGGTCGTCTGAGGAGGCCTTACAAATAGCTGTGAAAAGAAGAGAAGTGAAATGCAAAGGAGAAAAGGAAAGATATTCCCATTTGAATGCAGAGTTCCAAAGAATAGCAAGGAGAGATAAGGAAGCCTTCCTCAGCCATCAATGCAAAGAAATAGAGGAAAACAACAGAATGGGAAAGACTAGAGATCTCTTCAAGAAAATTAGAGATACCAAGGGAACATTTCATGCAAAGATGGGTTCGATAAAGGACAGAAAAATGTATGGACCTAACAGAAGCAGAAGATATTAAGAAGAGGTGGCAAGAATACAGAGAGGAACTGTACAAAAAAGATCTTCACAACCCAGATAATCACAATGGTGTGATTACTCACCAAGAGCCGGACATCCTGGAATGTGAAGTCAAGTGGGCCTTAGAAAGCATCACTATGAACAAAGCTAGTGGAGGTGATGGAATTCCAGTTGAGCTATTTCAAATCCTGAAAGGTGATGCTGTGAAAGGGCTGCACTCAATATGCCAGCAAATTTGGAAAACTCAGCAGTGACCACAGGACTGGAAAAGTTCAATTTTCATTCCAATCCCTAAGAAAGGCAATCACAAAGAATGCTCAAACTACCACACAATTGCACTCATCTTACAGGCTAGGAAAGTAAGCTCAAAATTCTCCAAACCAGGCTTCAACAGTACGTGAACTGTGAACTTCCAGATGTTCAAGCTGGTTTTAGAAAAGGCAGAGGAACCAGAGATCAAATTGCCAATATCTGCTGGATCATTGAACAAGGAGGAGAGTTCCAGAAAAACATCTGTTTCTGCTTTATTGACTATGCCAATGCCTTTGACTGTGTGGATCACAATAAACTAACCTGTCCTGTCTCTTGAGAAACCTGTATGCAGGTCAGGCGCAAAAGTCAGAACTGGACATGGAACAACAGACTGGTTCCAAATGGGAAAAGGAGTACGTCAAGGCTGTATATTGTCACCCTGATTATTTAACTTATATGCAGAGTACATCATGAGAAATGCTGAGCTGGAAGAAGCACAAGCTTGAATCAAGATTGCTGGGAGAAATATCAATATCCTCAGATATGCCACTGACACCACCCTTATGGAAGAAAGTGAAGAAGAACTAAAGAGCCTCTTGATGAAAGTGAAAGAAGAGAGTAAAAAAGTTGGCTTAAAGCTTAACATTAAGAAAACTAAGATCATCACATCTGGTCCCATCACCTCATGGGAAATAGATGGGGACACAGTGGAAACAATGTCAGACTTTATTTTTTTGGGCTCCAAAATCACTCCAGATGGTGACTGCAGCCATAAATTAAAAGACACTTACTCCTTGGAAAGAAAGTTATGGCCAACCTAGACAGGATATTAAAAAGCAGAAACATTACTTTGCCAACAAAGGTCCATCTGGTCAAGGCTATGGTTTTTCCAGTGGTCATGTGTGGATGTGAGGGTTGGACTATAAAGAAAGCTGAGTGCCAAAGAACTGATGCTTTGAACTGTGGTGTTGGAGAAGACTCTTGAGAGTCCCTTGGACTGCAAGGAGATCCAACCAGTCCATCCTAAAGGAGATACGTCCTGGGTGTTCATTGGAAGGACCGATGCTGAAGTTGAAACTCCAATACTTTGGCCACCTCATGTGAAGAATTGACTCATTGGAAAAGACGCTGACGCTGGGAGGGGTTGGGGGCAGGGGGAGAAGGGGCGACAGAGGATGAGATGGCTGGATGGCATCACTGACTCGATAGGCATGAGTTTGGGTGGACTCCGGGAGTTGGTGATGGACAGGGAGGCCTGGCATGCTGCGATTCATGGGGTCACAAAGAGTCAGACACGACTGAGTGACTGTACTGAACTGATATTTAAACTAAACTAAACGTAGACTGAACATAATGAAATTTATGGATTAAATAGAGTGACAAGTGCACTCTGTACTTCAGAAAGCTGGGTGTAAGAAGTGAATACGAACCAGGTCATATAGGTGATGCTGGTGTACGGTGTGTGACATGGTGTTACCCAAGCAAAAGCAAAAGAGGAATTTGTTGGGTTAAAATGAATATGTGCTGTACTAAGTGGCCTATATGGTAAATCATCCTAAAAACTGAGATTAAATGACACTAGTGATATACTACCTATAACACTCTGTTCAAATGTTTATAATATGAAATACCAAGTAAAAATTACCTCATCGTCAGAGTCAACAAGGCTTCCCAGATCAAGTTGTGGGACCCTGAAAGAAATAGTTATGTATCGCATAATTTTTTTTAAATGAGTCTTTAATAGTTGCAAGTCATATATGCTGTATCTTACTATATAAACAGGTAAACTGTAGCCAATGGTGTGCTGGCTCTTACCAGCTGTGAGAGGCTTTTGTTAAATGTTCAGTAATATTTTGCACAGGTTGTTAACACAGAATTATTAAGAATAAAATTATGTAAACTTATAATTGTATCAATTATATGAAAAACAAAGGTAATAAATATTCAAAACCCATCACTTCTTAATAGCTTTACCATACTTCACTATTTCTTGCTTTATAGAGGTTATTTATAGCTATCATATCTGAATGGCAATACATGGGTGGCATCTCTTTCCAACTCTGTGTTCAATGATAGACTGAAATTAGCCACAGTGGGATTATTTACACAGAAATGGGCAGATGTTATGAAGCAGGCTTTGGTATATTATTTTGTTGATTTCTAAGGCTGATAAATGTGGTGGAAAGAATGTTAGTAGTGCATATTAAACTTAAAGTATTACCTGTAACTGTCACATGGTGAATAACAAAAAATTGAGGAAGTATTATTCTGCTATTCAAAACTATTACTTGATTTGGCAAAGAAATCACTCATGTCACTCTAAAATAGATGAAAATATCAACCAATATTCACCCTGATTGATACTGTCACATAAAATATATAATCAACTTAAAATATACTTAATTTTATTTAAAATTAGCAAGTAAAGTATATGATGAACTTATAGTACATGTCTAGAAAACCAGTTGTTAGACATTTTCCAGCAAACAACTGACTGTCATCACACACTCAATATTGTATCTAGCATCTATACCTAGCTCTGTTCTTTGTCTGGATGAGCAAACAGGTATCTATTTTGTGGACCACGTGAAATTGCTGATATTTGCCCATTGTTAATCTATAAAAATGTCATTTTTATATAGTTCAAATTAATATGTTAGTTTTTAATTTCTATTTTCCAAGAAGCCCTGTAGTCTAATATATTGGATTGACCAAAAAGTTCATTTGGATTTTTTCATAAGATGTTACAGAAAAACCCAGATGAACATTCTGGCCAACCCAATATTTGAAAGAATATAAAAATCATATCCTTCCAAATTTTGAAAAGCAAAAATTTTAAATATATAACAATTAATGTATTCCAGTCCAAAATTAAATCACTTTAATAAGACTGATAAAATTATCATATTCCTCAAGATAAGATTAAAGAACAGATAACCTCCCATTAAATCATTTTGACTATCCCAATAAAAGTGCAATATTTTATATGAATTTTTTAATAAATACTCTTAGCTGAATTTTCTAAATAAAACAATATTTTAACTTTTTCAGGAAAATATAAAAATAATACTAAAGAAAATTAAACAATAAGAGAAGTATTAGCCTTAGTCCTACCATCCTATCACAAGAAATACTTTAGTTTGGATGTAATAATTTTCAGGGCATCAACATGTATATAAACTTTTCTGTAGTTCATAATCATAGCTATATATATAATTTTTCTTTCTTTTTTTGCTTGTCAATGTATACTTACATATTTACCCATTAAACGGCTCAAATGTGAAGAAATGTAACTTACACAGGTAGGCAAGGATCCTCCATAGCACGTGATTTGGAGGTCCATCTTTGCTTTAATTAAAAAAATTAGAATCAGTATGCATGTGTCATTTATTTATACTTTAAAAGATAACCAATGTGCCAATGCAACAAGACTAATTGTAATTTTTCTCAGTAAGCTTACATAAGAAATATTTAGGAAGCCCCATGCCACTGTGCTTGATGTGCAGAGATAAGATAATAACCAGCATCGGACTCTGCTCGGGAAGACATTCATTCAGACAATGTGGAAAATACATGCTGAGACAACTGCACAGAGCATGTGTACCCAACCTAGTCTAGGGAATTGAGGTAGCTTTTTTCAAAAATAAAAAAGGAAACTTTAAATGGAGCTCTGAAGGTTGGTAGGAGTTAGTTAGCCAGACGCAGAGAGAAGGGAGAAAACTGCTCCAGCCAGGAGGAGCAACTTGTCCTGCACAGGCCCACAGGCCAGAGCTGGCAGAAAGACTGTAATCCACAGTGTGAGGAGGTAGTGGACAGAGCTGTTAAACTGTAATGCAAACTAAGGCACCTGGACTTTATCCCAAAGGAAATGGGAAGACAGGATAGGAGTTAAGCAAGAAATGACAAATATATACAGGCATATGTTTGTAAATATTTGATTTTATTGCTAAAAAATGGGTTCAAAGGGAGGGGATATATGGATACCTATGGCTGATTCATGTTGAGGTTTGACAGAAAACAATGGAATTCTGTAAAGTAATTATCCTTCATTTAAAAATAAATAAATTAAAAAAAAACTAAAATGTCTCATAGGCAAAGACATGAAAATTACAGTGAGCTTAGTCACCATGGAATAAGAACTATGTAGGAATCTTAGGGAAAGCTAAAGTTAATAAAAGCAGGAAATTATTTATCTATAAGCACTTACAGCTTATTTGTGAAATATTATCTAACGGGTCGTTTTTATATTGACAGCAAGTACAGAAATTATATTCAAGACTGGGCTTCATCACTCGGACTATGAGAAATCCAAAGAAAAATTCAGCTCAGTATCAACCTTAATATGGCATTGTTTTAAGTACTGTCCCAATAAATAGTTAAAATGCAGGAACATAAAGTCACAAGATGATCATCTAAATGGATGTATATATATTTAATATATAATGACAAAATAAAAACAATTGTATATATTGATTCTGTTTAACTAATAATAAATTTAAAATATAATTTCATATATATGAAAGAGTGAAAAGTGAGTGTTAGTTGTTCAGTTGTTTCTGCGTCTTTGCAACACCATGGACTGTAGCCTGCCAGACTCCTTTGTCCATGGGATTCTCTGTGGACAGGGGATCTAAATAGAATACAGCTGTAGTTTTCATCGTCATCATGATCATTATTATTCCCCAGAAAATGTTTTAACAGACTTATTAAAATCTGCTAAATAGGTTTATCTAATAATGAGGCCATAGGGATAAATATTTCAGAATGGCAGTTATCTTTCCTGTCTAGTTATAATAAAATTGTGCTAGGCAATCCAGAATAAAGACAAATTATAGTTTACAAATCCCTAGGCAAGAGATCAGCAATCTAGACTCAGCTTTGTTTTTATGCTAAAGGTTTCACTGGCACACAGCCATGTTCATTTATTTACAAATTACCTATGTGTTCTCAAAAAAACTGCAAAGTTGAGAGACTGTACTGCCCATAAAGCCAAAAATATTTATTCCCTGGCTCTTTATTTTAAAAGTTGGATATTTTTGTATCTCACATTTTTTTATGCAACTCATTTTTTAATGAATTTTATTTTTTAGAAGAGTTTTAGGTTCACAGTAAAACTGTATAAAATGTACAGAGATTTGCCATATCTCCTCTGAACTTACACCTATATAGCCTCTCCCGAGAAGGGCTGCCTTGATTAAAATTATCAAATAGTTCAGACTTAGCCCATAATATTGTGAACCATAAAAACCCCAAAGCTGTCACTCATGTATATAAGGGAGATGGCTGAACACAGGAAATCTGAAACACAGATTTCCTGAACAGAGGAAAGAGCACAGATACTGAAGTCAGAACTGAAGTTCAAAATCCTGATGAATCACTTAATCTCTAGGAGCCTCAGTTCTTCCATATCTAAAAGCAGGTGAGGCCTGTCCTCTTGGGAGAAGGTCCACACTCTGTGGAATGTGCTTCTCCCAGGGCCACCCTTACCTTTTGGGATGGACCACATTCTGTCTATGGAATGTGTACCTCTAAATAAATCCACTTCTTACCTATCACTTTTTCTCTCCCTAAACTCTTTCTGCAACCAGAAATAAAGAACCTGAGCTTTAGTGAGTCCTGACACCAGCCTCCAATTAACTCTGGATGCTTGGAAGGAACCCTGGAACATCTCAGAGAGGAATGTTAAACTAATTAGGTTTATTTTGAGCTAAGGCCCCCACTGAGGTGGAGGATGGAATGATGCTGTTGACCCTTCTGACTGCAGTCAAGTAAAGCCTGGACTCTGTCAACCTTTGTCCCAATACTATGCTCAGTTCTCCTCTGCTCAAGCCCCATCATGAACATGCATGGACCCTTAGCTTAAAACTTCCCCAGTTTTGCAGTTCAGGGAGACTCTGCTTTGGGAAAACTCCCTACTGTTCTCCTTACTTGCTGCAAGTAATAACTCCTTCCTTCTCCCAAGTAAATAGATAGATAAAAATAAATAAGGGAGGTTAATAATAATACCTACCTCAAAGGTTTGTTGTAAGAATAAAGTAAATTGCTGAAACATTTATTGTGTTTGCTGATAAACAGTAGGCATTCACTATTTGAAACAGTAAGAATAGCAAGGAAATATATATCAATGTTATGTATTTCTAAACTAAACTTTATGTTTGCTCAATTCTGTGGTGATTACAGGGACAAAGTATCTTTAAACTTACACCTAATCAATAATATACAGTAGTGATATTATGAAGGTTGAAAAGAATGAAAGTCCTAACAGTAGAAGCCCAGATTCTTTTCCTACCTAGCTAACACAAAATATATATTGATTATTTTCTTCTTCTTTCTACTTTTTAAACTTTTTGTATTTTATATGTATGCAGACATACATAGACAATTTTTAAATAATAAGAAGAAAACAATGATATTAAGCTTAATTAAAAATAAAACATTCAAGTAATGATTATCTTCAATTTTTTCAATTATTCAAATCTAAGAATTAATTCCAAATATTTGGGATTATGAATTGTCATAAAAACACAAAGAAAGGAGTCAGAAAATTATTTAATGAATCATCCTACAAGAGGAAAATTATATAGCATACATACTTGTAGTGGCTTCCTTCTTCCAGAGAATGGCTGAGTTTGAGTTGTAGGAGAAGCAGCAACTCCTTTAACCTCCAAGTCCATTGCAGTTCATATATTTACCAAGCAGTATACTTTGAAAAAGGTAAAGCAATATAAAATGATCATCCTTATTCTAATTTTAAATAAGTCATACAAATTACATAATAATATTACATGGAAAGAAGTCAGGTGGTTAATCAGTTTTCCGTCTTTCACCAAAATCAACTTTCTGTGAAGAACTACATTATGTGGGGCAACATTTATGGGATAAATATTAGTCTGAGCAATGGCCCCCCTGAAGACGTTCATGTCCTAATCATCAGACTCTGTGAATGTTACTTTAAATGGCAAAAAGCCTTCCAGATATGATTAAGTTAGGATTTCAAAATATGGAGATTCTTCTGAATTATCTGGGGGACACAATTAATCCCCTTATAAAAGGAAGGCAGGATGATCAGAGTGAGAAAGATCTGAAGACGGAAGCGCAGGTCAGACAAGAGCTAAGACTTTAAGCAGCACTGACTCCTGCCTTCAACGATTAAGCTCCGTTCCAGGTGATACTGACTCACTCTGTACACGTCTTTTTGAAACCTTGAAGGAAGGTACTCCTGTTATGATGTTCTTTGTTATGACAAGATATAAAACTGTGTTGAAAACCAGTCTGCTCCAGAGCATTTCCTCAGAGGTATCTGAGAGGATGTTTTCCAGGCTACAGTCCTCCTGCGTGCATGCTAGTCACTTCCGTCATGTTTGACTGTTTGTGACCCTATGGACTATAGCCGGCCAGGCTGCTCTGTCCATGGGATTCTCCAGATAAGAAATTGGAATGGGTTGCCATGCTCTCCTCCAGGGAATCTTCCTGGCCCAGGGATTGAACCCATGCCTCTTAGGTGTCCTACATTGGCAGGTAGATTCTTTACCACTAGTGCCACCCAGAAATCCCCGCTGACTACAGTCTTCAGTTTTGACTCAAATAAAACTCTTTTCTATTCATCTTGCACTTGTTGTTTAGTTGCTAAGTCACATCCGACTCTTGCCTGTTGATCTTCCCCATTGACACCCATTTCCATAGCCCTCTCTCCAAAAAATCCCTTGCCCTAAGCCTGGGGTTCCACTGCATGAGTGAAGTCAGGAAGATTAAAAAGCAACAGCAGACTTATTCTGAAAGCATCCCAGATCATTAGATTTGAGAACATCCGGACAGCACTAGCAAATGGCTTTCTTTTCAGAGACAGATTTCAGAAGGAAGAAACGTTGTGGCTCCTCTGGTGACTCAGTGGTGAAGGGTCTGCCTGACAATGCAGGAGACTCAGGTTGGATTCTGGATCCAGGAAGATCCCAAATAACATGGAGCAACGAAGCCCAGGCCACAAATACTGAGCCTGTCTTCTAGGGCGCAGGAGCCACAACTGCTGAGCCCACGGGCCAGTCGTTGAAGCCAGATGCCTGAGAGCCCCTGCTCCAGAAAAGAGAAGCCGCCACAGTGAGAAGCCCGTGCACCTCCACTAGACAGCAGCCCCCACTCACCAGAACCAGAAAAAAGCCTGAGCAGCAAAGAAGACCCTGCACTTAGTCACTTCACAAGTGCTATTGTATTTGCCAGGATGATTAGTGGCCAAAAAACCTGAGTTGAAACAGAGGTGCTGCTGGGAGCCAGCACAAGAGATCCCACCCATGACAAGGTCATCAGGAGAAGACCTGACAAGCAAGGCAGATCAGGACCTCAGGGATTTCGAAAAGCTGCCCCGGCGCTCACCTTAAAGATGACCTGTCTTTCTGATGCTTGCTATATTAGACTACTCCCTAATTTCTGTGACACGGGCAGAAGGCCTTCCCGGATCTCTTTCCAAACAGAATCAACTTAGAACTTTAATTAATATGTCCACCGGACGGTGGTATCCTATAAGATTATCCAGGATGAAAGGAGTGTTTCAATTTAGACCCCTTTGCTGGCATTCTAGCCTGCTTGGCAAATGCGTACTAATGCACATGACTGCTCACAACACCTTAATCATAAACAGCATAAAGAACCTGATCACACAAAGATCCTAATAGGCACAGAGCCCTTCGGGGGTGAGGAAGCCCTATTAGAGAACATAAAATATTATTCTAAGCATGGTTATAGTTAAAGATTTAGGAAAATAAGAGTTTAGAATTGTTCATTTTAACCAGGAATATTAAACAGGGGCTGCCTCACTGGAGCTGCAGAGTCTTTGTGTGGTAAACCTTTCAGATAAATTTAACTGATAACTTCTGCAAAAGGACTGACCTTTGTGTTCATTAAAGAATAGATTACGGAAAACAGGTTTACATTCACTTGACCTGCATAAAATGTTAATAGGCCCCAAGGCCAGAAGATAATGTACAAGACCCTCATAAACAAAAAAGTATGCAGAAAACACCTTGGTTTCGTGAAGGACAAGCTGACGTAATGTTAAACTATCTTCCCCTTAGAAATGTACTAACCTAGGGTATAAAAGCTACGGTAAAAATAAAGCATTGCCAGACTATGCCAGACTAGACTGCACCCCCTGTCTGGTCACTCTCTCTCTCTCCCTCGCAGACTTGGCCCTATCAAGGCTGGTCTCACGTGTCTTCTCTCACCGACGCCGTTCATCCTGAGGGTATCCCCTGGATCCTGCGGAGGCTGGACCCCAGCAAGGTGCTAAACAATCAGCTACATGACTGACTCCATACATCAGCCTCACATTATTTATGCCTTAGTAACATTATCATCTGGTTTCCCACATGGCACTAGTGGTAAAGAACACCCCTGCCAATGAAGGAGATGCAAGAGACACAGGTTCTATTCCTAGATGGGGAAGATCCCCTGACAATCCATTCCAGTATTCTTGTCTGGAGAAACGCATGGACAGAGAAGCCTGGCAGGCTACAGTCCATAGGGTTGCACAGAGTTGGACACGACTGAAGCACAGCACATTATAGCAATTTCAAATCACTATAGGCCACTTTAAGTCACCGTACCTTACGTAAAAATAATAAAAACAACAAAATTTATTCCCTTAAATGTCCATGGTCTCCTTGTTCCTTTCCCCAGGTATGACAGTCATCATTCTTCACTGTAATTAGCTCTTCTTATCTCCCTAATAAACAATCAAGACCATGAAGGTTAGTATCTCATGCCTTTAATATAGCAGATGCTTACTAAAGTCAATAAAAAAACTAATACATAATCAAATACCAGGATACGTTTGAAACATATCCTTAGTTTCACACCTCTGCACTTAATTATGACATGATCATAATATGCCTCTATAAATTCTGTCTTCAAAAAATTAGATGAGGTGTTTAAAGCATATTAAGCATAAAGAAGAGTAGCTATTATTCTTCACCACTTTAACTATAATCCTCAAAAAGGCAAAGATCACTACTGGTTTTCCTCACCCTATAGCTCAGCACTTAACAAGAAAATAGTAGAAGCTTAAATATTTGTTAAAGTGAGTTCAGTCAATTCAGATATGTGTTATTTCAGAATAATAATTACTAGCATTGATAAAACAGCTCAACCTTCTGACTTTCAGACCCAGAAAACTGAATTTTACTTTGCCAAATTATTTGCTAATTATTGCAGAGTTTGAAGTCATACAGGTTTCAGACCTCTTTTCAGTGCTACGCCATTTCCGGTACAAGCAATAGGGAAGGGGAGGGGAATTGGCTGCAAAGACTAAGGAACACCAGAAATCTAAAGTGAAGTGAAGTGAAGTGGCTCAGTCGTATCTGACTCTTTGTGACCCCATGGACTGTAGCATACCAGGCTCCTCAGTCTGTGGAATTTTTCAGGCAAGAGTACTGGAGTGGGTTGACATTTCCTTCAACAGGGGACCTTCCCGACCCAGGGATCGGACCCCGGTCTCCGGCATTGCAGGCAGACGCTTTACCATCTGAGCCACCAGGGAAGCCCAGAAACCTAAACTTGCTGGTAAAAGGATCAGCATTTCAAACAAATGGCTTGGAGCTAATCCTGGATTGCATACCAAGGGCTGGCTTTGCCCTAAAGCACTGAGTATGTAGTTGGGGTATGGTGGGGGTAGGGTAGCCAGAGGAGAGAAGAGCAAGGTGTGATGACTTGTGTCTCTGCAAACAGCTGCCAAGTCATGAGATGTTATTTCTAGCATCGAATGAATGCTGGGTTGTTAACTAACAGAACCACGCCTTTCCACGTTAGCTTTTGTGCCACCAAAACGAACTGAATCACCTCCCACTTCCCTCATTTTTAAAGATGATTTTGTCCAACTCCAATTTTTATCACATCTCTTTTGGTATTAGGAGCTATTATGCCGCTTATATCATATCAGAACATAGTGAAAAGCGAAGGATAAATTGATCAAATCCAGTCCATCAGCAAGGCGAGAGGAAAAGAGATGTGTAAATACAATTTCGTATTTAAACTCCACGCAGGGGAGGATCAAGACCACCTCGGAGCCCCGGGGATAAAGATCCAGGTGTCTGATGGAACCTAGGATCATTCCTAATTTCAAGCACAGCAGAGTAACTGCCTCACATCACTCCCGCAAAAGCTGAGATTATACTTAAGAGCACCTGCAATGTCCTAGCACCCTCTTCCTACTGAGATTCATGGACTAGGGCAGGACCCAAGCGGCAACCAACCTGAAGTGACCCAACCAATCCAGGGTAAGAGTAAGTCCACGATGGGAGAGCTGGAAAAGGTATAAACTGAAGCAATTCCACCGAGAGAACTCCCTTGAGGCCTTTTCAGAGCGGAGGAGCCAGAAAAGAGACAGCTCTCAGCAAAGGCTCTGGCCAACTCAGATCTGCGTCTGTAGGTTGCCTTGACAACAGGCCGCTGCGCGGCGGCCGGCCGTGGACCCCTCTCACTTATGGGGAAAAGAAGATAGATCCTTGGCCGAGGCCCCAGCTCCGCTGGCCCCACCTACCGGTCCCCTGCTGTTTCTGCCATCAGAGCTGCTCTGCGTCCCTGCATCCTAGGAGACCGGTTCCGGCGCGTTTGTAGCCTTGGCAGAGAGCTGGGCGGACGCACTTCTCTGCGCTGGTACTGAGCCAAAAAAGGGCCAAAGTCGGCC